TGCGCCTACTCGCCGGCTTCGTCCTCGCCGTCGAGGTGTGAATTTCGTCCTGACGACCGTGTCTTTGGCAATTCAAATCATGTTCAGTGACAATTCGTCACATTGATCTCGTGCTTTTGCATTCAATGGGAAATTCAAATTTTTTATAAGATCAGCGCGTCATGAATTATTAGCATTAATTAGGAGAAGCTGGAAACTGCTCTTTTACCGAGCAACTTAATATTATACGATCCGTTATTATTTTATTCTTCTTTCGACTGTGTGATCAATCTTTCACGCGTCGAACATTTTTACAACTGTCAGACTGATTGGCAGGAAACGATTATTTGGAAAAACGAAGGTATTAACGACGAATTGTGCATCGTAAGCATCTAACTTGTTACGCCACTATCGGCGACACGAGCAACCTAAAGTCCAACTCGGTATAGTAGGAAACTATAAGTTTCACCCGGTATAAGTATTGATTTAGCAGACGTTCAGATAGAGTTTGCTCTTTCCTAGCATGGCTAAATTTACTCCGACGGTCAGTAAAATATTTTTCTAAGTTACATAAATTTTTCAGTACGTCCTTTTAGTAATTAAGTAAAAATAACGTTAGATTTATCAAACTGCAATATTGTAATTTTTTATTTAAACTGATCGCCAAATTAAAATGCTGCAGCGTTAATTTTATATCAAAAGACAACAGATTCTGTGTACGAATGTAAGAAGTAAAAAAATATTATAAGAAACATTATTCTTGTCTAAACGATAAATCTAATTTAGATGGCACGAGTCAGAATAAAGTTACGACTTGGTATCTTAGATACGAAAAACTGCGAAGTCGCTGTGTCAATAGCTGGGATTCCAGAGTTGATGCGTTTCTATAACAACAGGTAAAGAGAGTCCGCTAATAAACAGGATCCGCCCTGGAAGGCCGGCTTGTTTCTGTAAAAGAGGCTAGAAGCGCGCTAGAGAGGCGCTAACTCGAACGCGATTTCGGGGATAAAATTTCTACGCGACTAAATCCGGCCGAAAGAACGATGAAAGCAACGATGACTACGAGAACAACGGAACAGTGTCGGATGTGCAATCGGGGTTTGCAGTTTTACAATATACCTTCCGACGTATCTGACGGGATGGAAAGCTACACTTTCGTGAAGAGCCCGAGGGCGATATTGCATATACAGAAGAAATACAGACATCCTTCCGTGTAAGTACAATCTACCAATGATGTATATCGTTGGAAACGAGTGATATCGCTGACGTGACAACGTTATTTGCAAGAGACCTAGCAAGCATCGACAAATTTAATTTTCCATCGTACGCGAAAGATCTCGTCGATACAAATGATATGATTTTTTCAATGAGGGAAAACAAAAGAGATATCAGCAAAGAGAACTCGCCGTACGAATACACTCCTTCATCTCGAGATAATTCTCTTCTCACTCACGAGATAATTCATCTCGTGCAATAACAAAGACACGAAAATCGTCATTGCGCGGAATAGGACGATAAGATTGTGAGTCCATATGCGTGATTAGGTAACCGCGTTTCTTTTTTCACACGTATGCATACATCTCTACGTTATTATTGACGCAACAAGTGCACGATATTCTTGTAAACTTGCTTTGTTTAACGATCTTGCGCAAGCACATCTAACCCTAATCATATCCTGAATTAATGATCCCGAACATCGCACACATGTATATGATACAAATAGCACGTATCGTGTGTATCTCTTTACACGAAGCATGTTTTGCATATTTAATATTGTACCGAGCTCGTAGGAAGGTGTGAACTTTCAACTTTGCCGGTATATGTACGGGATGGTAAAATTAGTCTCATCTTTTCTCCCCCGAATTCTCACCAGTGTGTTCTTTTACATTGTACTTTTAGCAACGTTTCATGTTTCGTATCGGTTTCGTGCGTATCGGTGTTACGAAAATTCGTACAGAAAAGTCGAGGAATTTCGACGCGAACGTAATCTTCAACATGACAACTTCAGCAACGTCCGTCGCTCTCAGTGCCGATATTTTCAAATTCACCAATTCCGTTCCACAATGAGCAACAGCGTTTCGTCGAAGTGTTCGTTTATACATGAAATTGCCAAGACTGGGCTTTAGCAGCGAAGAAAAAAGTATTAATAACTAGAAAAGCGTGTGGTCGCATCGATATTGCAACATCGTCGCTTATTGTCGGTCTATAGATCGCGCTGCTTATAGACGACAAAAGGGAATGACCGCAACGGTTGATTTTATCGCGGACTGTTGTACACGAAAGAGTACAGAGTGTGTGATGCTATGCATTCGGTTCACGCGATTTCCGCTCCTATTGAGGGGGAATACTCGCAACACCAAAGTACCGTACAGTATCGTCAGTTGGAACAACCATTCCATGAAAACACAGCTCGACAACACCCCCGGAGTAATTCTCTCGTGAAGAAATTCCATGGAAATCTGGAATAGCGGCAAATGCGGAGGACGAGACGCCGTGCGAAAAGAAGTAGAAAGAGAGAGAGAGAGAGAGAGAGAGAGAGAGAGAGAGAGAGAGAGAGAACACTCGTGTTGTCCGGAAATCAAGCTAACACGGCGCGGTTGGCTGATTTTGTTACGAAGTGTTACGTCGAGGAATTTTCCAACGAATGAACAGCACCTCTGTGGATGCTTTTCCGCCGTAATTCGCCATGACAATAAGTTCAGCGACATAAAAGTGGCAAATGTCGTGAGAAATGTACACAAAGACGACCTACATGCGCACTATTCACCGTTCTATAAAATCGACACACGGCGCAACCTTGTTAAAGTAACTTTCTGATTGCTCGCTCTTATTTTTAGCATTGACTCCCCTTCTCTCTCCTTCTTTCTCGCGTACTTCATAATACAATAAACCGTGAAAGTTATCGATTAGAATAAAACGACGTAAGAGTTTTATTCGAACGGGTCAATCGATCGTGCATATTAATATTAATAACCGTCCCCACACGTGCGCGCGTGACTACCTCAAATGAGAACGTCAATTCCTTATAAAACAATTCAGAGAGATCGATCACGATGAATCCGCGCGTCATTCGAGGGAATCGCGACGCCGCGCAAAACCGCCCTCGATCTCAGCCGACGAACGAGGGGTAGGAAAAAAAAAAGAAACAGCCGACAAATTCATGCGTATAGGTGTCCCACTTACTTTATCGCACCACCGACAGCGGGAATTCACGTCTTACTGACGTATATAATCGCACGCGACGTTCGACGCGAGACACGTGAAGCCGGGGGAGAATTCTCTCAAGGCTACTCGCACAGCGCATTAATATTAATAATACAAAATCCAGCTACGACTCGACCAACTCGGATTTCTCGAGCAAGCGCGGTCAGCTTGATTGCGCGTACGATTACATTAAAGTAAAAATTAAGTACGTTTCTCGTCAATTCGACGTGGGATCAGTTGAAGCCGCGGGCAGGCGAGCGAGAATCTTTTCCTTCCGTCAGAGAGTCTTCGGGAAAGTATGCGGGCGATCGATTGTACGCAAAAAGCCAACGGCGAGATAACGCACCACGGTAGCATGGGCTACTATTGGCGATCGTAAGCCCGCGGTTTTACGACGGTGTGCTCGCGTAAAAATCGGCCAATCGCGCAATTATGATCATGCAAGGACAAAAAACTGCTTCCTCGCTGGTTATAAATTCGCGCTTGTTATATTTGCCGCGTTTATCATATTTTCGATCTCGACCGGTCGACTCGTTACGAATCAATACTTTCTCGGAATGTATTAAGACAAACTCGACCAATAACAACATCAGCTGGATTTTAACGACAGAGTCTAGTTTGTATATCACACACACTCGTTGACACCGGAGTTGTGCAACCGTGTCGCCTGTGTGAAATTCGTGTAAACGGCAGTCTTTGCGGGATCTTTCTCGAGAACGCCGCGACTCCGCGTCGGCCATTTCCGCTGGCTGGGAATAGAATTTACAGCTGGTTTAATAAACGCTATGCGCGTAAATGTCGGGCGTGATGGTATCAGCGGGTAACACGAGATCACTCTCGCGGATGATCGCGATACTCGTATGACCTCGCGTAAAGTGCGCTGAAGTCACGTCTCTCTCGGAAGTCGACGCGCGATAATACGACGCTACAGTTGTAAATTGATAGAGTTCTATTCGGGGTAAACGATCGCGACGAAGTGTTGCTACATGGAAAACAACAAGCGACACACTCTCTCTCTCTCTCTCTCTCTCTCTCTCTCTCTCTCTCTCTCTCTCTCTCTCTCTCTCTCTCTCTCTCTCTCTCTCTCTCTCTCTCTCTCTCCCCTACCCTCTCGTGCAGTCGCATTTCAAAGTCGAATTTCCATGCGCGATATTTGCATAAGTCGTACACCAACAAAATGCCTTACTCATCTCATAATTCATTTCCCACCTACGTTCTATCGCGTGCGCATACTTACATTAATAAACAACTAACCCGCATACATATCTGCTACCAGACCAAAGCGACCGCCTATGTCCTCGAGAGGGTTAGCATGCCGAGGGATAAGGAACAACAACACGATTGCTCGAGCAACTTTAACCTTTTCCGCCGCTCGTCCGCTACAATTAATTAAGGAGAAGAAAAGAGAGAGAGAGAGAGAGAGAGAGAGAGAGAGAAAGCGAAGAACACACAACGAAGGAGCAAAAAGTCCGAGCACTCACGGTTCGATTCGCGCTTCATTATCAGAAGCGTGAATCAAACCGTGCGGGCGTCGAGCCGAGCCTTCGCAGCGATCCGGCGCGATCAAATGTGTCGTTTCACCTTGAAGGTGTTGCTAAGGTTGGAAGTTCCCCAGGCTGGTTGCTCCCTAGGCGGGTGGCACAGAGAAAGAGAAGGAGAGAGAGACAGAGAGAGAGAGAGAGAGAGAGACAGAGAGAGAGAGACAGAGAGAGAGAGAGAGAGAGAGAGAGGGGGAGGGAAAGAGAGAAAAAGAGAGGAGAGCCCAACACTACACTCACCCTCTGCCAGTGGACTTAGGCATGCGCAACATTCGCGGTGGTCAGCGTTATTGAGTGGCCGGGCGAAAATATACGTGCAACATGACTGCGCTCTATATCGGTCGATTCTAAGGACATTGTCCAGTCTCTGAACCACCCCGCGAGCCGGTCAGTAATGCCGCGGCGACACTCAGCGACGTATCATCACGACGTTTTCCATCCACGAGCTTCCGCGGCCAGCAGAACCGCCGCTTTCGCGCCAATTTCGTACAGTACGTATTTAAGAAGATCGAACAGAGTCGAGCAGTTTTCCGATCGCCGATCGCCGTTGGACGCGCGAGCGAACTCTCGGTGTTTACGCTGCCGCTTGTGTTTTCGCGACAGTTGCTGCGCTTGAGATGCATTTTGCATTAGGCGACAGCTGTGTTATCCACACCGAGCTGTGTCATCCGAAAATCGAGATTGTCAAACTTGTCGAAAAAAAGAGCCGACTATTTTCGCGTCGAATAGACGATTGCAAAAACACTCTTTATGTTGCACCGCACCGTTAACTCGAGCGTCGTGCATTCGAATTTTCCGTCATTCTTGATATTTTGCTACATATTATTGATACTAATCTTTTTTTTATCGGAGTATATCTCCGCAAGCGTGCAGAGAGTATCGCGAGATTGTTGTCCATGTTCCGTAATTGAGCGAGTTTACTCACAATCTGGTCTCGTGACTCCGGTCGGCGAATGAATAATTAAATAAATAATTACGGGCGCTACGCTGTGCGTCTCGGCGGCTCCGCTGCCATATCGACTGTTCTCACTTTGCGAGCGATCGATAAGCGATGACTAGGCGGCAATTACTTCTCCTGTGATTGGCGCAATTATCCGCTTTTGCATAATGTGTGCTGACTTATATACGATCGACGCAAAGTCGGATTAAAGAGAGGACGAAGGAGAGCGAGAATAAGAAAGGTTGAAATTTTAAAGGGTCACCACGCTCGAAAGGCTAAACACGTGCAATCGGGATCGCCAGCGATCGATTCGCCATGTCCGCCATAAGATCGTGCGCCTGAAGAAATCGGGAGGATGCCGGCCGGCATTTCCACTCTGGCGCCGCCGACGGACGTGGGGTCTTTCGACCATGAGGCGAAGAATCCTCCGGCCTTCACGATTCTGCAGAAGGATGGACTGGATTCAAGCCTGCCGCTCCTCCACATCAATGAGGAGGACGAAACGAGCGCGACGCGGCTCACGAAGCTCGAGAACATGAGGAACGATCTCTACAGTCGCCACAGGCGCATCAGCAAATCGAACGATCACCTGGTCCTCGCTAGTCTGCAGTCGAACCAAACGAATCCGCTGCGGAGGAAACATCAGAGCAAGAGCCAGGACAGCCTGAGCGCCGAGGAGAGACCGGCCACGACTAAGAGCAGCATCGCCTTGTCGACGGAGGACTTCAACGAGGTGCTGAATGCCAAACTGAAGAAGATCCAAGAGCAAGCCGAGGCCGATCAGAGCCGCAGGTCTCCGAGGAAATTGATGTCGCAGAAGAAGCCGTTCATCACGACCGTGAAGACCGGTGAATTCCTAATGCCGCCGCCGGAAGTGGCAGCCCTCCTCGGCATCGCGCCCATTGGAAACGACGAGGAAGCGACGACGACGACGACGACGGCGGCGGCGGCGGCGGACGGATGTCCGCTGAAGAGCAAGTTCAAGTCGCTGGTGTCACTGGCCAAAAGGCCGGAAGTACGTCACAGCAGCCACAACGCGAGATGCCCGGCCGCCCTCAAGGCCACCGTGGACTTCTCCCTCGGCATGATGAACGCCACCGCCATCGCCGCCTCGACCTTGGACGAGCGGGTGAGGAGGTTCAAGAGGAGCGAGCCGGCGTAAGTGACGCTGCGTGACGTAGCACGATCACGTTATAGACGGTTGTCCCGCTGTTCAATCGGCATGTCGGTGTCGTGTTGCTTCTTACAGTCGGGGGCAGATCTACTGGCTGACCGATGACGTGGATATATGTATTGTTATATGTTGAATATGTCATATATAACAATATGTTAGGTATGATGGACAGACATGTTACGTGTGTATGAAAAATAAAATAGACGTTATATATAACAATATGTAACATAAGCAACATATAACGTCAATGGGTCCCACGCGCGCGGGACGCGAGCCACGCGGTAATGAGCGACACGGTGGCTAATCCACCACCTTGTTACGCGTCCATTGTTTCCGGAAGACAGGAACGTTCATCTCCTGTACCGCGTGCCTATCCATAGCACTAATTATCCTGTGGGAATGGGAATCCTCTGATTGCTCATTGCTTTCACTGCGTTCGCGGGATTTCGGGTTTGATTGTTATTAATCAAACTCGCTCCCAAGAAGCAGAAATTCTGTCACCTTCCATTGAAACGCCTTCGGGGCTCGCTCATCGTCACGTTAATTCGACCGATTAACGTTCCTCCCCGTGCGTGGAGAAAAGAGAAAGAAACGAAAAACTTCTGTCGTCCTTATTCGTACTTTGAATGCGTTCTTGCCCGTCCGCGAGTCCGCGAATGTGCTCGCGAGATTAAAAGCGCGCGAATAAAGAGGACGAGGCGAGGCACTCGAGGGGAGGACAAGGGCGTATAAGAAGAGCGGGAATTGTTTTTCTAGCAGATTCCCGCAGGCGCCGCGAGCTTTACCGAAAAAGTTGGAACCGATCGAGGGCATGACGAATTCGCTGCCGAAGCTCCGCGGGTAACGAAAACACCTTACAAGTGGCATCACACTTATCACTGGTCCTTAGTTGATAGCAGCTGCTTTCTCCGCTTTTCTCTTTCTTTTTTTCTCTGTTACTTTTTTTCTCGCCGACCCGATTTATTCTCGCGCGCGTGAGGTCGCAGTCGAGTCCCTCCGTGGGCCGTTGTCGCTCCTGGTGCACCGCGTCCACGAATGTCCACGGAAAATTTGGCCGGAGCGGTTTCATATCCTCATACGATAATCTAACTCTCTCTCTCTCTCTCTCTCTCTCTCTCTCTCTCACGTCAAGGTTTGTCTTTCTACCGACACACCGCTAGATATAACTCGATAAGAAAATGTGCACACGTTCCGAACAAAAAAGAAACAATCGATTTTACTCTGTACGGTGATTCCATTGTTATCCTCGACGACAGGACTGTTGATTTCAGATGTGTCAAAACCTACTTGGGCGATTACGTAGAGAAAATCGGACCGCGACGCGTATTGTCGACGACGTCGAAGACGTATTGTCGACGAGAAAACTATTACGCTATTTTTGTTAATATAATAATGTTACTCCTACGATATTGTCGCGATCGTTAACAGGCAAGTTGTCGTGTAGCAAATTCATGCACGTCCCCGTCATAACGTTTCGTTTCTATACAAGTGTGACTGAAACGTACGCCTCGTCGGCGAAACGAACGACAGGCGTATCTCTGTCGTAATTGTAACTTTTGATAAAAATATACTTTAACGATTGGCGGAATGAGCAGAGCGAGAAGGATTTTGTTGCCTCGATCGAAAGTTAAAAATAAACTCACACAGCCACTCAAACGGGGAAGTCTCGACGGCAGTAATTGTTTAATATAATTTAATACAATTTAAGACTTATCCGCGCGAGATTGTGGTAAAAAATGAAGTATATTAAAGACAGGCGTGTGTACATATCACGAAGACCGATTTCATCGCAAAATTTATCGATGCTTGCCCAAGAGCGACAGGTCTCGCAATAGTCACTCGGCTCTGCTGAGCTTCTCTCGGATTTGTTTGCGCGCGTCAAGCAGTGCCGTCGTTATTTTATCGTTTAGTTGACCGTTATTTTGCAGCGATCAACCGGTTCCGTTCAGGAACATCATGTTTGATCACCGCGTGGCTCGTGGAACTACATGTGCTTCCGTACCTGCTCTCGTAAGTGCATACCATGTGCTACTTCCCAAGAGCGCGGCGAGATCCATGGCTGCAGTTTTCTCACAATAATCATATCTACGCAGATCGATGGTGAACAGTCGATCGCAGCGAGGCAAGCGGAAGCGAGACGAAGACACTTGGCGCGGAAGCGTGCTCAAGCTCAAGCTACCAAAGCGCTCGTCATGAGGATCGGCTCGCCGCCGCCGGTTCCCGGCAGGAAGCACGAGCCGGTGCAAACGGAAGTCTTTCTCGAGGAGGTTAATTGAAAGCTTTATCTGTAGAGTCCCGTGCAAAAAGAAAAGGGAAGTTGCCAAGATTCCCCAGAATCTCGCAACTATGCAATCGAACTCTCAATTCTCCTAACACGCTCGTTACGAATTGTACGGTAAATTTTAATCTCGACACGTTACGTATTCAAGCTGGCCGAGAAGCCGGACGAATCCGAGGTAGCCACGCAAACCGACTACTTCTTGGAGAAACCGGTGACGCCGAGGTATTGCGCACCCAAGACTGGTCAGGACGCTTGCACTCAAATCGAACCCGGGGAGGTGTGTTTACACGAAAAGAAACATGGACTGGAATACTAGATTCAAGTGAACTTGTTTTACCGTGACATTTTCAGCTCTTCGACTACGACACCGAGGTTCAACCGATTCTCGAGGTGTTGGTAGGCAAAACCATCGAGCAAGCTCTGATCGAGGTCTTAGAAGAAGAAGAAATCGCCGCTCTCAGGGAGCAGCAAAGGAGATTCCTCGAACTGCGCGATGCCGAGAAAGCTGAAGAGCAACGATTAGCGGAACAGGACAGAAGACTTAGAGAACAGAAGGTGCCGATATCTTTTACTTTGATCTTTTATCGCTTCAAATCCACCGTCGGTTTCTTTTACATTATCATAGATAGACGAACAGTTCTGTATATCTATCGCGGAGGAAAGGTGAAACAGCAAATTCGTTTTCGATCCGCAGGATCGACGTCTGAAACAACAGGAGCAGGCGATGGAGGTCCAACAGGAAACCGAAGAGCGCGTCGCGGCGGCGGTATTGTTAACGGGATACATCGCCGAACTCTTGCCCGCGGTTCTCGAAGGCCTGAAAATGTCTGGCTACCTATTGGACGAGATCAAAGCCGGTTCGTGAGCTCACCAGAAAAACTATCTTTCCAGAATTTGTTGACCGCGAAGGTTCCTGAATTTCCTGAAGTTCCTTTTATTCGCCGAGTCTGTTGGGATTTCGATGGGCTTTGGATATGTTGCAGAGAATTTTGTCAGGAATCGTTTCATAATAATACAATCTTTCTCTTTCTCTCTTTTACGTATTTCTATTCAATCTCAATCTCTTTGGACCTTATATTATTTTTGTTCTAATGAAAACAGAAACTGATAAGAAAAATTATCTTGCTATCTATGAAATGCACTATAAATATTATGCACATACATTATTTATATATGTATATATATATATATATAAAATTTGTATCGTGTCATTTATTATTTTTAAACTGATAAAGACAGAATCAACAAGTAATATCCACTATTTACCTTGTGAGTTTCTGTATTACGCCAACACATTACCAACATGAACGTGTTTCAGATGTCGAGGAAGGTTTCATGCCGTGGTTAATGAAGGAAGTGAAAAAAGAAATGGGTAACATGATTGAAAGCCGAGAATTACTGATGGGTGAGTTGAGAGCAAGTGACAAATTAGCGAAAAAATGTCCATGTCTTTTGCTTTGTCAGACATCATGGGATTTGATTGACACTTATAGAGATCATCAGAGAGATTTTGGAAAACCGCGCACAAACCTATCGGCAACTCGGTGAGGAATATGACGCCTCGAGAGAGAAGAAAGAGAGAGTGGCCGAGGAAAGCGTGGAGGAGGGTGGTGGAGTTGACGACAACTTTGCGAATTATCAGTCACCGACGATCGAAAACCATGACGCGATATAGCGAGGTAAATTAATGCAGAGATCTAATTAATATTGACAAACTGATACAAACTGAAATTAATACAACGTTCACAGCTGCGAAAAGAAAACAAAATTTCTTTAGCGCTCATGGTTTGCGTCAAGCGTAATTGGAAAATGGACGGAGCGAGATCTATAATCCGACAGAGTAACTTTCGTGATCGCTATCACAATTCGATAGGCGTTAATCATGCGCTACGATTGAAAAACGAACGGGCACGCCATAGTTAGCTTTGGATTTAGGGATTCACCTTCGACCAGCACGGGACCAATCTCCGAGCCCGGTGCCTTTTACATTAAGCAGTGTACACAGCTGCGCGACAAATCCATCTCCTCCGCTCGAACCCCATGACAGGTCAGCGCCGCGTTGGCGATCCCCATGGTAAACAGTAACCACCGCAAACGAACGAGAAAGACCCATCAGAAATTAATTATCGATTCTCGAAGTCAGCGCGGCGTAATCTGTCATAAGAAAGAGAGATGCAGCGGAAAAAATAACTTTCGCCGCAGCAATATTTCTCCCGCGAAACAATTTCCTTTTTTCTTTTCTCATATTTCCATAATATACTCAAGTGTTTTTTTTATACGATATCCCTGTTCAATTATTTTTAGAACGTAGTGTTAATAACTTATTTGTCTACAGTTTACAGTCTGGCTTGCGAATGCATAACGCTGCACAACGCTTTCGAGGCGGATTAAGAAGCTGATTACGTTCCAAAATATAACTTGTGGTTTATTTATAGCCAGCTCAAAGAAATCATCCAAATTTAGTACATATGAAATAAATAAAAATATAGAAAATTTTGGTACGCGAAACATATTTCTCCTTGATCTCTACTCTGAATTATTTCCAGTAAATTACAACACACACACACACACACACACACACACACACATACACAACACTACCTTCTAGCAAAACTTCCAGGCAGAAGAATGCTTTCCAGTCTTAGTGAATGATAATTCAACTTTCGTGGATTATCTTCTAATCCACATAGACAAGCTGCCGCAGCTGGCTATACTCTTCCTGAGTCAGAAGTAAAAATATAGCGTCGCTAAAACAGGATTTCCACTTCTCTAATTAGACTACTATTTCAAAGAACAATAAAGATTCAATAGCAGTGTCGAATATCTCTAGTCAAATGAAGCATAACAACAATAAAGATTAATAAAATTTTACAGCAAAATTGCTTGTAATAATACGTAAAAAAAGTATGCCAAAATTAACATCCGTATATCTTTTACACGAATTGCAAGATATGTCTGTCCTTGTCTCTGTCGAAAGATTTCTTTCAATATAAATAGCTTTATATCAATATTGCTAATAGTAGAAACAATTTATAGAAGTATTTTATTTTACCCACTGTAATTTTGAACTTTTTTCGTCGGATTTAATGAAATCGATAAAAAATTGATGTTATGACAATTACAACGAAAATTAAACATTTAACTAGAAATATTTATTAAAGATTATATCTACTCCGGAATTAAAAAGCTCAATTCTTTTTTTCATGTATATTTATCGAAAGAAATATTCTTCTCGAGGTATGGTCATTGGCAATATCTAGGGTCAGTATAAGCCTGGTTTATCTCAAGGGTTGAATTATCTTAACAAATACCGAAGAGAGAGAGAGAGAGAGAGAGAGAAAGAGATAGCATCTGATATCCATTTTTGGGCGCCGGTACACCGCAAAAATAAAAAAAAAACCTGTCCGCTCCAATCAGTATTAGATCGATCATAATAGGATGAGGTTTCACGGTGAATTGAGATCGGCACAGTTTTAAAAAGCCACCCACCCGGTTTAACTCGCCCCTCGCGGCGGCGAGACAGCGGGGTAAGGGAAGGGGACATATTGTATTGGATTAAATTAAGCAAGGGGGGTACGTCCTCGTACCGAGCATTATACGCGCAAAACTTGTGTGCCAAGTGATTCGTGTTTTTCGGCTGGACAGGGATGGCAGCAGCGGGGAGACGCCGACTCACCACGAGGGCTGAAGAGAGGTAAAAGATGTCCGATGCAACGGGACCGATATGCCGCGAGGGATCCAACATTATTTTGTCATGTGACCCGTGTCACCTGCGTCTCCACGTGATTTTTCTCCCTCCAAATGTAGCACGTGCAAATTCGAGGAACTCGCGCTTCAGAAGTGCGCAAAATAAAAAAATACTGATCGACGCGCTCTTCTGAGCAATGTTACCTCATGCACGTGTTACATGACGACTCGTGGAAATGGATATTTGCACGAAAATGTTGTGCGTTGCAAAATTGCAAAATTCGCGCGCGTACTCGCTTTGCTCACCCGCCTAGATGAAAACGAGACGCTGACATAGTTTAATGTTTACCCGTAGACAGTAGTGGATAGTATTGACTCTTAAAATCAAGTAAACAGTTCATAATGGTTAAACACTGGCTTAATCACGGGACACGGGCCGTCAGGGATGGAGGACATGGGGCATACGGCGGTCACGTGTCGTGTTACACGGCACTCGTTTCTGCGGGGCACGGGCAATATGTCGACGGCACGTGCATTGCGGAAGTGCACTTTAACTTCTCTCGCGTAGTACGCGACGTAGAGATATCTCTCTCCGATTCCCTGCGAGTACGTATAAAATGTCTGAATCAGCTCAAATTGAATTTTGCAAGTGTAATCATTGTTTTCTTTCTTCCGCAAGGATACGCTACGTGTGAAAAATTATACAATGCCAATAATGGCTCTGTAAGCTTTCAATATAATTCTGACAACTAGGGACACGACGAGGTGACTTGTACAAAAAATGACGCGTAGAGATTAATGAAGAAAAAAAATGTTAAAGAAAACTTGCTTAGTGCATCTCCGAACGAGCGAGATAAAGGCCGCCAGTGGCGGAACACTCGCGAGAGATATCAATAATACATAAGCTACCGTCTCTCGCGCAAGACAGCATTAGGGAGACTTTCGACACTTGCAGAACCGAGACGAATCACCTTTATGGGCCACCTCCCCGCAAAGGCGACCATAATTCAAGCTTCGCTCCGCAGCGTCTAGCGCGATTGCGTTATGCGGCATAGAGGGACGCGGGACAATGAGATTTGTTCCGTCTCTCCCGTGGTAAAAGGATCCAAGTCCGCGCATCCCCACCATCGGCGCCGCCAATTCAGGCTCGACACGCGCGCGGCGGCATCGCGTCCTCGGGCTTTGAAATGTATGCAAACGCGCACTCGTCGATAACGACGATATAATACAGAAAGTTCATTCGCACGGCGCACGGTTATATTAACCAGGCGTCATTTCCCTCGCGAGTAGCTTTGCATTTTCACGCAGAAATCGAGTGTCTGTTTGTGAGAAACGTAACGAGAGAACATTGCTGTAATGAAATTTAACGTTGTTCTAACGACAATAAAAATAATAACGACGATAATAATATAATAAAATATAATAAAAATATAAGAAATAAATTTATATTATATATATATATATATGTGTGTAATTAACGACGTTTCACACAACAAACTTCATTTCCATAATATCGTACTTGTAAATAACATTTCTTGACCGATGTATCTCCCGCCTACCGACCCAACACCGAAAGGTATTTGCTTGTCGTAATACGTATAAAATTGCAAGTGCAAGTTTCTTAGTTGGACTTAACGATGGCGCGTTCTCCCGCGCAAGAACGACATGCACTTGCGTCTCGTCGTACACCGGCACACCCGGTGCTTGGTGCACAGCACGTACGCTAGTACAAGGCCGGTGGAGGGTGCTTCCGCGTAGGCTTATTTTGAGCATCCCACCGAGGGTGCAACGATAATACGTAGATGATAATCGCGATATTAATATCGCATTGGGAAGCGCACACATGCGTGCAAAGGGCCCATTGGTCACGGCGGAACACTTGCTCGCTTGCTGGCTCGCGGTCGTCTGAATTGCACCCTGATTTTAGAAAGAGACGAAACCAGAGAGGGTACGACCCTCCGCCTGGATGCGGGCGAAAGGCGAAATTTATCAACAAACGGCGGTAAAGGTAGATTTGACGTCACCGGCGTTCCGTTTGTTAAAAGAAATTCGTTATTCGTGGAAATAAATTGTCCAGAGCGTTGTTTTAAGGTTATTTCGCAACTATTTAATATTGACTAAATTGCCTGAAGAATGGTCGAACAAATGTCGTCGATGTATTGCAATATATCGGAGAGATTGGACAAATATCACGTTTGTTCTCGCATTTCTTCGTTCTCTAAGGAGTCTTCCCGATACCTACGCACCCTTTGACTAGGTTGGGACCTTCCGCTCTTCTGTTTACTACCCACGAACTACACAAGGGGCTCGAACACTTGCCGCACACATTTAGGCGCAAAGATTGGGGCACGAGAGAATGGCGGAACACACTCGCGCTCGAGTTTCTAGAGACCAGAGAGGGGTTAGCGTGTAAGGGATGGTGCGGCTTGTGAACACTCGTGTCATTCCCTGGTCCAACCATACATGCGGATGAATCACGTCAGCCATGGAAGAAATTCGCAACCATGCCCCTCTTCTGGTTCCTTGTCAGGGACCAGAATTTGTCGAATTTTCCTTCACAAAGTCGTAAAAGAAAAACATTGTACTTGTTCCCTTAGTATCCTCGTCAAAGTTTACATCTATAAATAATTTCTTGCGTAGATACTCCTAAAAAATTAGGAGCATTTGTCATCTAGTAATGACGAAACTTTCATCAACTTTTCTTGAAAAATAAAAATGATCAAACTACAATAGTTTGTTTGTTCGCTCATGAAATACAAGTTTTTTTTGCAAAATCTACCAACCTGACGTTTTCGTATCAACATTCGACTGGCCACGATCATTTTATCACGTGTGCGATTAATCATGTCGTTGGCGAAAGCGAAAAATGCGTCGCGTTCAGCGGGGAACGTTTTACGCGATAATCCATATAGTACACGACGAAAAAAAGAAAGAGAGAGGGAAATACGCGTTGGCAGGATAATGGCGGGTCGTGCTGGGCGCATCAAGATCACCGAAAGATTAGGCAAATCTGAATGATATCGCGCCCATGTGATCAATGCTCGGACCGTCGGGAAGAATGAACCACTTAATTTCCTAATCAACCGTTGATTCAGATGCACCTTTCGACCGATCCCTCGCACTCGCATGGAGACGTACAGTGGGCCGCAGCTGAGCCAAACAATGTCCTTTCACATGAGGCTTTTATAGCCCCATCGAGCGTACTAAAGTTCGCTCCTGATTGTGTCCTGCCAACCCGCGAATCACACCCGTGTCTTCATCAAGATCGCGTACGCCGGACTACTGACTGATCAACCGAGATCAAGACGCGCGACGTCGTCTTCATTTAAATGAACTACATCATTGCATAGACGACGATTCATCATATGTGAAGAAACACAAGTAAAACGTATGAAATCGATTTTTTAAAAGTCTTTTATAGTTGCGTTAACTTTTGGAGGAAATTATTTTTAATATAGGAAAATGCATATATGTGTGTGTGTATACAAAAGTGAGAGTATGTAAAATAAATTTAGATATTTTTTTAATATTAATATATTAATATATTACAATATTAATATATTACATTATATATTAATATTAATATATATTTAATATCAACTAACAAAGTGGAAGATGGATTTTAAAAATCCATTTGGAGTTAAATACTAATACTTGTATGCGTCTTACATCTGTTGGCTGGTAAAACACTTCTTATGTACGACCTTAGAATTCGTTTACATGGCACTATGTATTTATTGTGACACCAAATACTAGACGATAGGCGCTAATTTCGTTGTTGGTTCTCGCTAATCCCTCCAAGCGGAGATATGACGATCGCGAATATACTTCTACTTCTAGTCACTAAGAGATCTCGAAGCTATGTAAGCGTGTAACGTTCCAACTGTATTTAATTGTTATAAAGTTCAACATCTCGCAGCGAGTTTCCGACATTAAAGAGTGTCAATATCTTCGTGATATATTCACATTGATACATTATGTGATACGTTTCATAGAACCAAAAATGCATTATGAAAAAGTTACATACATGAGAAAAATTAAAAAAGAAAAAAAAAACATTTCACTTGATTCCCCATTATAAAATGTGCTAACTCTCCCTTCACGAATCAAAGAATCTATTCCATATTTTTCACTCATGTTTTACTTGTGTCTTTTCCTCAGGATTACTTTTCTCTTTATCGATTAGCAAATGCTGTACACATCTGATAAAGGAGCAAATGAAGAAGCAAAAGCAAGAATCATAGTAATGTCATTCGAGTTTACGGTTATCAAAATACTTATTCGTTTAAGACAACCGCACACATATCTTAATTATAACAATTAATCCCTAAATCTGTGTTAAAATCTACAGAATCCATATTTGTTTTAACCGACCTACAAAGAGATGGCGCAATATTACTTTTCTAGCTGGTGCACAATAAAGGATGCACCTTACTACAGCACGTGGCGAATCCCCAACAACTACCCCAAGTCTGCTCCTCCCACTCTGCATGGTTGGGCCGCCACAGCGGCCCGACTCTTTGAATACAATTACGTTTCACAGGGTAGTGGAAGACTTGCGCAGAAGAGTGGTACTGGCATATTCTTCATCCGGTAGCCAATTTGATCTAGACACGACACACAGTTCGTACTTGGAGCATACACGATATGCAACTCTACATCGATTGACAACTTGATCTCTCATCGTGATCTCCTGATTGTTCAATGCAAACTTACCGGAGATAAATTTTGAACACGAATGAATTTGAACAGTCGTTCGGTTTTCGTGCAAGCGAATCGTGAGTTTCGAATTTCATCTCGCGGCGACAAAGATACAAAAGGTGTTCCAGCGGTGGAAAGTTTTACAGTTTAACTTTTATCTCACCAATGTTACCAACGTGGTCGAGGAAACGTCATTTCTCTGGCATAATCCTGGGAAACTTCCCCGAAGAGAAGTCTAAAGCCAAGAAAAGCAGAGAGAATGACTCCACGAAAGACGTTTGTGCGCAAACAATCCCTACTCCGAGGATGTACCCTGTGGTATCGCAGAACGCGCTGATAAGAATTGAGGAAGCAATCGACGTGCCGGGAGGATACACTAACTTCGTATCATCTAACACGTGTACGACGACAACCGTTCGAGCCGCTGGAAATCTTAGCAAAAACTCTTCGACAGAAGTCATCGATGTCAATACATTAACACAAAGAAGCATCTCCGTCGCTAAACACGTATGTGGCAAAAATATTTACGTCTCTCTCTCTCTCTCTCTCTCTCTTTCTCTCTCTCTCTCTCTCTCTCTCTCTCTCTCTCTCTCTCTCTCTCTCTCTCTCTCCCCTCTCCCCCCCCCCCTCTCTCTCTCTCTCGTAAGCTTAAACATGAACTCTGATTTATTTTAATTTAACTCTTCAGTTGTGTAATATAAATTATGTATTATATGCATATATTATCGTACATGCATAGATTCTCGGATCGCAAAAGAGTACATATGATGACTGTATGTCTAAAAATGTTATTTTATTTGGAATAAAAATTAAATTTTATTGCACATTAAACGAACATTACATGAAAAATATACTTTCCTCTACAAAAAATATCTCATTTATAAAAGATATTTATTAATTTATAAAAGTATTTCTTTGTGTGAAATGGGGTAACTCCCGCGAGTGCACAAGAGTATGAGATAACTTTACACAAAAAGATTATTCTTTTGTCGTTTTAATCAAAAATTTATATCTATCAAAAACTAATCAAAAACTTCAGGTTGAGATCGCAGAAACTGGAGGTCGACTCTATTGCATCGATGGATGTACGAGTACACTTTGCTGGCTGAAAACAATCGATATCGCACAAGATATCTCCACATGTAACGTTAAACTCATAAGTACTAAGGAAGGAATATCCTTAAAAACTATTAGAAGCATAAAGGCGGGGGAGTCGTTACAAATGTGGTTTACCGAAGAGACTCTGCTCATGTTGAACATACCCTTTCTACTGCCGATGAATATTCGAAGTAAGTTCAAAGTTACAAAACTCAAATAGCTTCTCTCGTAGCTTCTCGACCGTACAAATTATTAATTTTACAATCCTTCGCCAATCTCCTGGCGGCTATTGAAAGATATTTCCTCACGATTTTCTAACAATCCCACAGTAAGTATTAATTTTAAAGATAATACTTTTATTAATCCTAATCTTGAAACTAACTGATGTCAAACGTTTATAGGTAACAAGAGCTACGTATGTCACATTTGCGGCAAAATTTTCGAGTATCCGAATCCGCTGAAGCTACATATAGCGCTGAATTGCAATCGACTGGACAAGACTCACATTTGGACATTCCTGACGAAGGGACTCGCCGTTTTGGAATCTTCAAAAGTGTGCCTAACTAACAATCTGTATCCATCAACGAGCTTCACGTTCGAGCTGTCGTCGACTAACCCGACGATGACGTTGCCGATTAACGTGCCCTCACCGATCCTCGCAGGAACTATGTATACCGGAATGCCGTTGAGAAACGATTCACCGTGTTCAAATCAACTCTCACCCCTGTCTTTGAGCCAGCTCTCTTCGAGCTCATCCTCCACCGAAGTCTCACCCAGTTCGTTGGACCGGATGGCGCCTGTCGAAGAATTGGCATCGAGACATTCCGCCTTCAAGCCTTATGTGCCTCAAGAACAGATACGCAGGAGCCGATTGACGTCTTACAATATGCATCTAGCCACGATGACGTCCTTGGAAAGCGATGCACTTGCTGTGGATATGGAGACGATCGTCAGTAATGCAGGAAAGTCCAAAGAAGGTCATCGTTGTATCTACTGCGGCAAACTCTATTCTAGAAAGTACGGACTGAAGATACACATCAGAACACACACCGGTTACAAGCCGTTGAAATGCCCGTTCTGCGAGCGCGCTTTTGGAGACCCTAGCAATCTCAACAAGCACGTCAGACTGCATACAGACGGCGACACCCCCTACAAGTGCAGTATATGCAGCAAGATAATGGTCAGAAGGAGAGACTTGGAAAGACACTTGAGATCAAGGCATCAACGGGAGCAAGCTGATAACGCTTCGGAGGACTGCCTACCAACGTAATCAACATGCAAGCACTGAATTTGTGTTGACGTTTAGGTGAACCGAACGACGAATTTGTAACATAGCACAATAATGTTAAAGAATGTTTAATGTTATCAACTTAGGGGCAAAAAAAGTTGCATCATCTCTTTACCGTTGGTCTCTTAATTAAGCGCTTTAGATATAAGATAAGAATAATTTTCTAGAAATTTTCCAAAGAAAAAGCTGTTGAGACTAGGAAAACGATTTTTCTTTGTATAAAAGTTATTTTGTAAAATATATTGTTATTATAATATATATTACAATATTATTATATTATAGATTATGTATTATATATAATATATTATAATATGTCTATATAATATAATAATAAAATTGTTATCTTCTGAAAATATACAATCTCCTAATTATAATGATAAATTCAGGCAAATTTAACCATAATTTCTATTAACAACTACCACCGTTCTCAACTATTAGTTCTGATTATTTTTTCTCACTATTTCCAACTTGTTCAAATTCCATTTTACAGCACTTTCTTCCATGTTATGATATGATAATAATAATAATAATAATGTTATAATACGTTACCTTACTTGGAACACACAATATGTGTGTAAACATGTCGATTACGACAAGTAGAAATAATAATTGACAATTCGCTCGAGAAATATATTCTGTTCTCGAATTAAAATGACAATTGTTGCCAAACATGTATATACAAAGATATTCATTCCATTTACAGAGTTAGTATTCTCAAAACTCAAGATATGCCTCGTGTATATCACACTTGTGCGAATATATATTTCATAATAGAAATACCAATTTTTCGAAGCCAATTATGTCGATGTAATATTTGCTTAAGCCAATTTTACAAAATTTAATACGGCGAGCTTTCCGTTATAAATTCCATTAAATACGACTGTTTGCATGTTCGAATTCTCGATTGTTCGAAATACCCCGGAACCGATTATGTACTAACTTATGTACTGTCTTATGAAATATACACACATATATATATCCTACGAGATATACATATATTTAATATTCGCACAAGTAACTATATAATTAATCATGCAATAATTGTAAATGAATTCACTCACTGATCGTTGTATCACTCTTACCACCTCTCATCAAATATGTCTCGGTAAATGCTCGTTAGTGAATGACCGTTAACGAATATCCCTTAGCAAGTATCGTTGGAAAATACTAGAAAAGAGATGATAGAAACGATAAATTGAAAATGATTCAAGCACTGGATTTTAAAACATATAAATATTGGTAATAATGTCTTATTTCTTACAGATTAAACCGTTGAACATCCAGATTCTTTTTGCCGTACGTTGCACATCGTTTTCATATCTGCGCCATTTTGCATTAACTACGATTCAATACAAATAAGTGTCCCTTTCAACCACGCTTCGTGCTCTTTTATATCGTATGTTTCTCTCTTTCTCTTCTTAGCGTATAAACGTACTTGTCTCCTTCTAAGTGCAGAAAATCAGAAAAAGTGTAGTTGGTGAGATTATTCGTTCCAAATACATTGTCTTCATCGTCACGATTTTTCTCGTCTCCTCATCGCCTTGCATCGTCTCCTTTTTATCAAATCTTAAATTCATACTCGCGTTTACTCATTAAATAAATTTTAGGATGCAATATAACGAAACAGAAAATAAAATATAATAAAATAACGCCGTGACGCTAGCGACATCTCCGAGTATGATTCGCACTTCTCTGTCGACTGCACGTCGATAGCTACGTGCCACTGTCGTTTCTGTCGAAAAGTCGAAGTGGTGGTGCGATATTTATAGGATTTTAAACGCTTATACGGATAATTGCAAACGGTGAGCATGACAATTTTATTGTGCTCAAAAAATGTAAGAGATCACGGTGCAAAAACTCAAGTCTGCTTAATCAAACAGTCATTGAACACCGAGAACTGAAAGACCGGGTTATATATGTGTGTTTCATACTTGTGATGTAACAGCTTCAGCAATGTCACTGTGAACACGAGGGGAATGTATTTCTGAAAGAAATTAATTGTTTTCAGTGCAAAATCACTTTCGAAATGGCCACGATCGCTCGTACCTTGCGTCCTTACTTGAGGTGCATTCGCAGTCAAAAAAGAACCTATGCAGATGCTGCTGCTGCCAGTGATCAAATGAAATTTACTTTTGCTGGCGCTAATCAGGTAATAACATGATGAAATAGAAATTTATAGCTAGTACTGTAATTATAAGAGTTAATTAATTTGTCCTTTCCTGATATCAGGTATTTTATGACAAAGCTGCGATTCGTCAGGTCGATGTCCCTTCCTTCTCAGGTTCTTTTGGTATTCTACCAAAGCATGTACCTACTCTGGCAGTATTGAAGCCTGGAGTAGTTACAGTTTATGAAGAAAGTGGCACAGCTAAAAAGATTTTTGTGTCATCTGGTTCTGTTACCATAAATGAGGACAACAGTGTACAGGTATATACTAGTTACTTTATGAACACAAAATGAAAACTAGATTCTGAAATGATATATTATTTTTCTGCAGATTCTAGCAGAAGAAGCTCATCCAGTAGAAGATCTCGATAATGCAGCAGCAAAAGATATTCTTAGCAAAGCACAACAACAACTCTCATCGGCCTCGTCGGACAAGGATAAAGCCGAAGCAACTATTGCAATTGAAGTCGCAGAAGCTCTTGTGCAAGCTTCACAATAAATTGTTAAAAATATAATATGGAATTATATACGTATACATTTCTCACCACAGTCTTAGAAAGAGGCATGTGTTCAGTATACTCTTCTCATAACTGTTGTGTAACAGTATAATAATAATAAAAATATGTTAAGTTACATACTTGATTGTATCAGAAACAGGTCACGAAGTCTGTTTTTATCATAAATTCTTTATTAGTGTTGGTTAATTTTTTCGTTAACAACATAATAAATACGCTGCCATTTACAAGCTATTTAGGTACATCGATTTTATTGCAGTTTGCAAGTACTTGTAACAGCCATAAAAATTTCCACGCTAAAAATTGTTAAAAATTAATATTTCTCCAATCTACTTTTAATAACAATAACGCTGCGTCAAACACTGAATTCTAAATAAAGCCTAAAACGTAATAACCGTTACTTTTGTAACGTGAATACTTTGGATGTTTTATATATAATTAGCGTTTCTCAATTAACCCACGGAATATCAAATTACTTTTTAGATATGCGCACTAGCAAAAGTATTTTTTTTTTTGCGTGAATGTCACAAGAGCAAAAACATAACATAATATTCCTAGGGTCAACACCGTCCTTCGAAAACAAACGCATTCGTCTGGATGATGTGCAATAAATAAAATTCTTAATGATATGTAACTATATATATATATATCATTTTTGGTATTCACAAATTACAATTAAAAATTATCGTTAATATGCTGTACATATTTTTAATTCCTTTGCAATTAGTATCTTCGCTAAATTAAGTTTGCAATAATACTACAAACCAAACGTATATGAAAGAAACAGCATATGTATTTGTGACTCAAATATCAAAAGAATACTATCTATCTGGTTTTGCTGCACAAGTGTGAAACTTGATATAATAGTTATAAAACATCATTTGTTTATGTCAAAATATCTTTATATAAAAATAATTGTGCGTATCGTACATCTTTTTCTCTCGTACTTTTAACGTTGGCTATCGACAATTTCCTTCATGTTACATCTGTATGTGAACGTTTCGAAATTGCGATTATGTTTATTATTACAAATTGTGCAAAAATAAATTTTGCATTTATAAATTTTGTATATATATATTATATATATAAATTGTTCTTTATAAAAAAAGTCTACAAACATGTTTGGCACAAAATATATATCGCATGTGTAGAATCTCCATCCTGGAATTCTAACGGATATAGCACATATATGTACAGTCATATATTCTCATATATATATATATTCCTTGTCCTAAAAATATAATACATTTGGAAGGCAAAAGTTGCGCACTCTCTCTCTCTCTCTCTCTCTCTAGGCAAATTTAAAGCTACCGATGTGTAGTCTATAACAAATCACAAATCTTTGCGAGCGTTAACGTGTGTACAGCATTATTTTCTTACGTGACTAGTTAATGAAGAAGAATTTGCGATTCATTGATTCCTGGCCAATTTACACTTCATCAAAGACGGCAGCAACCTTTCCCTACAGCACGTAGCGCTGCTAGTGCTTTTGCAACAATTGCGACTAAATACTTTCTGTAGCTGCTGCAGCGTTTTCAAGCAAATTACAACACAGCAAGAGTCACAACCGGCGGAGCAGGAACATCCACTTCCTAAGGAAGACACGAAGTCGTCTACGATCTTAAACGTCGTATCTTTTCTCGTAACCTCCGCGACGGTAGGGCTGTTCGTGCAATTTTGACAATTCTGTAGATTGTCGCACTTACAGTCGACACATTTGCATATATCAGCGTCCGCCGTGATCTCCTGCAGGACGTTTCTATCCTTCTTGTTTTTCGTCTCATCCGTCCTCTGCTCGTAATCGGCGGCTTCCTGGCACTGTACCATCTCGGTATTTGCCGAGATATGTTCTATGTTCACCGCGTCGATATTTTTCAAATTCTCCGTAGACGGTAACTGAGCCTCTATTTCTAGCGGATACGGCTCTGGGCCTACTAGATCAACCAGTGAATGGACCGCGGTTGGGAAGGCGTTCAATTCCGACCAAGACTGAGTCCTCAACGCGGGCGCGGTCGCGAGCGCCATCACGTCGATCCAAGGCGACGGTAACTCCTCCTCCGTCGCGATCGCCAGCTCGACAGCTTCCGACTGCGTGCTCGTGATAACGTCCTCGCACAGATCGTGCGACACCGTGCTGAGCGACTCATTCTGCAACGTCGCGTCGTTGATGAAAGAGAGAGCCTCTATTCCACTGTCGAAGAGGTTGACTCCATTCGAGGAACTTATGATATCGGGGATATGACTAGTAATACAATTGGCACTATATAACGCGTTACTGTCGTCGGCTATACTATGCGCGCGGTCTACATCGAATACATCGTCGGCGACGGTGGTGATGGGCTTGTTCTTATACTGCTTCATATCACTGGCAAAGTCCGTCCCGTCGGAAATGTGCGCCATCGCGTTCTGCAAGCCGTCCTGCATGATCTTCTGCTCTAAATTGATCGGAACAGGCCGATCTTGCCTGTCTATACTGTCGCCGCGCGCTTCTGGCAACGAAGCAGACTCGTACTGACGATCCCGACGGCCGCCAGCCATGTCCGCCAGGTTGTCATGTTGCGCATTCGACTCTGTCATTTGACTGAATACTTTAAATTCGTTATAATTCCCGTTATTATTGAAGGCATCAACCGCGTGTTCGTTGAAGTTGGCTAGAACGATATCCGTCGCGAGAAGCGCGACTTCCTCGGTGGTTCTGCTTGAGTCTTCCATATCTTTGGTAGAAATATAATCGAGCTTCCCGTCCAACTTGCGACTGTTCATAATCTCTAGCATCACATCGGTGGGAGTTGCTTGTCTCGCTGCTGCACTCTCCGGGGACGCATATGGCATGTTCCCATTACCATCTCGCGCGAGATCCGCAGATATCGGCACGACAGCGTATGACGGTATAGTGGTGTCATTCGCGCTAACTTTCACGAGTTTCAGTTCCAATTGTGTCTGTTTGTTCCGCTCCTCAGTCGCGTCGTCACCTCCGCTGTCTTTGTGCTTCTATGTCATAAGATTAGAGAAATAAGTATTTATATACGATTAACACGAGGCAATGTTCTACCGCCGCTACTCACCGTTTCGTTGTTCGCAGTTTTATTGTGTGTTTTAATGTGGCTCTTTAGGCTGTGCGGAGTAGTGAAACATCGTTTGCAATTATCGAAAGTACAGACATACGGCCGTTCACCCGTATGCGTCCTCTTGTGCGTTTTCAAGTGGTGCGAAGCGGTAAAGGCCTTGCCGCAACCCTTCTCTCTGCATCTTAAAGTAAATAAAGAATAAGAAAGATAAATCCTAGATACTTGCAGGTCATACCGAATAGCACATGTGAAATGGCGTTTAAAGGCGAATTAGCCGAGTTTTACGATCCCGTTTCTTTCCTTTCCATTTACGTAATGTGTTTGCAAAATAACGACTTGTACCTAACATCTTTTTACACTTTTCTCTTTAAATATCATAGAAAGTACCGGGGACGAACATACTTGTACGGTCTTTCTTGAGTATGAGTACGTATATGTTTCTTGAGATCGCTTAGAGTAGTGAAGAATTTAACGCATCCAGTCTCTTCGCAGTTGAATGTGTTGCCACTGTGGAGTCTTTGGTGAGCTCTCAGTCTGTAAAGGGTATTGAATGCTTTCTTGCAGCCTTTGTGATTGCACTCGAACGGTTTTACTTTCGTGTGTACCCTAACGTGGATCTTTAGGCTGTAGGACGTGAGAAAGGCCTTGCCGCAACTCGGCTCTGCGCATTTAAATCGATACTCGCCTGAAAGTTTTGAGAATTCCCTCCACATAAAATGATTGCAGGGCTACCTATCTCTTGCAGTATCTGAAAGCCATGCAGGTCGAAGCGTTCCCTTTATACCGCAGCATTGACGACTTGATAATATCAATTTTCAAGTAGCACCGAGAGAATATGTAATATGTAAATGCGTAAACGAGATAAGCATATACATATCCTGTGTACTTTTTTTTATTGCTAGCGACATCGACACGCGCGTGATAATAAGGTCTATTAGACTTACCTGTGTCTTTCTATCCACTGAATATGCAAACATAAGAGCACGTGTTAGTATTGCATATAGAACAAATTGCATGTATTGGACAAGCACAACGTGCAAAGCATGATGATTTTCTTAATGATATAGGCCAAACAGGCTTACGGACGAGTCAGCCAACAAAAACAAACAAATCAAAGTTCTTTGCCAAAATGAATGCACTAAACAAGACAAAAGATCTTAAAAATATGAAATATAACTGGAAATTAATTGCAAGAGTTACAAAAAATTGAGTATATGTCATGATCATTTTTATAAGAAATGTTGTAGAAACATTTCAGATGATGAGAAATACATGATTAGAGACAGTGTATCTTGTCATAATAATATTCCCTGGTATTTTGCCATGTATTTGAAAAATCATCAAAAAATATGTACCTGTCTTTGACAAAAAAATAATCTGGAATCTCACCTTTGTGTGTTTTCATGTGAGTACGCAAATTCCCGATGGTACTATACGTCCTGCTGCAGCCTTCGTATTGGCAATTATAGCGATTGATATGTTTTTGATTGCCATCCAAATCCATGCTTTCAATCATGATAGTTGCATGAGGATTCGCACGATCTTCAGATAATATATCATCTTGTCCCGGATGGATTCGCATGTAAACTTCATGTGGGCTGATTGTGTGATGAATGTACCTATAAGTACACATATTTCTTTGTTTATAAACTTGTAGCAGATTATTTTCAAACTACATTAATTTTCATGTATTTCACAGTTTAAACATTTATTCAATTTTTTTGTTGATTTGTATTTTTAATTTAAATAATACAAAGTGAACGTCTCAACATTATATACTTGCTTTATTATTTCTGACAGTCTCATAATTTCATTCGTAGATGAAATAGCACATAGGCACAAACATGCCAATTTTACAACTAAAATTAAGTATGCGGTAGCAGCTATGAATAATACACTTGCTCAACTTAAACTGCTATATGTGGATAATGCTGAAACTAAATTTATAACAAACAGAGTATCTACAGTCACAAAAATAATAGTATCCTCACTACATATCTGATACTTCTCCATAATGAAAATAAAATATATGGCAAAAGTTTATAACTCATTGTCTACCGAAATGTTAATTTACAACACGCAGCAAACACAAAATTGCATCTTGTAATTGTGTAACAATACGCACGCACGCACGCGCGCGCGCACACACACACACACGCACGCACGAGGTATAACTTATCTCGAAATTGTCATGTAGCAATCGCGAAACGTATCAACAACAACAGTCAACAATGCACCAGTGACGTGGACATTGACATACACTGGCTCATTCATGCGCCAATTTTTTTTTCTTCAAACGATCCAAGAAATTTAAGGCTCTTATTTCAAAACACCTTATAGCCTTATATGGAGGGGAGAAAGAATAGCGACGAGCGAAGGAAATATTGAGTGTGCGATTTAATTGTCGGTCTCGTCGTGACAGACACCGTACCGAGCAAGCGCAGTCGGAGCACGATGATGCAGAGAGACGAGACGATCGGCCGACAAAATTTGCGAGGAAATCTCACCCGGTCGTGTTGTCATCGGGTAGCCTCTCACTGATAGCAGCATCATCGTCGGAGTACCTCTCGTAATCGAACACCGCGCTCTGCTCGTAGACCTTCTCGAAGCTCGACAGATCCAGAGTTTCATCCAGGCAATCCTGCAAGTCGTGCGTCACGAGGATGCTGTCGAAATTGCTGTCGATACCATCCGCATTCTCCTCCTCCTTCGAGTCCTCCTGAAGCCTCTCACTCTTCCACGTCGCCATATTTTTTCTCCCAAGTTGCGAAAACAATTCATGCGACGGGCTCTGCCTGCACTCTGACATAAGCTGCTATCTGCATCGCAACTGATACGATAGATCTCTGCCGAATGCACGTTGCCGACGTGAGAAAAGAAGCGAGACGCCGCAACCGCTGTCAGAGAGAAAGCTGAGAGCGTCCAACACGGCATTTTCTGCGACACCGACTTCCCGCACTGGGAAGGGATGCCATCTGCATCTATTTTGAGAAGGGAACTACATCCACTTTCAGGTCTTGGTGGTAAAATCTGCATGTAGTGGAAGTCCGTGCTACATCCACTTTCAGACGGTTTATGTCCGTGCTGCAACCACAGTTGCCATGGTTTTTATGCCAGACTATGCTCGGAGGTCTAAAACGAGCAGGGGGGAGGGGGCAGCAGCAGGAAAAATAAAAGTACGTATTAAATATTAAATCTTCGAATACATGTTGCCGTATCAAAGTCTCCTGTATAATAAACGATTTGACAGGTCTGGAGACGCAAGATGTATCGTTGCCCGCGCTCCGTTCCCTTCGTCCTGCTTCACAATTCAGCATCCCGTCCGCTCCAGACATCCGCTCGTGGCGACTGACAATGGCCGTCGGTGAGCATTCGATTCGCTCGGAGGAGCACGTGTTAATTAACGCGACGAGACTCCGATTATAAATATCCCGCGAGTCGACGAAATATCTGAACTTTAAAAAAAAGCATCAAAGAAAATCACGTTGATGTTGTACCAGGATGAAATCACCCACCCTGGTATATATTTTTTTATTTTCGAAATAAAAAAAGCCAAACGAATGCAATTAAATGTTATTTATTATCATTGAACATTAAATGAAAAGTAGAAGAGTTATTGTCCGCAGCGGATAATCTAACATCAAATAAGTACGAGACAAAATTCGCATGGGATGAAATTCCACTCTTTAACGCTACCATGACTTTTAATTATTCTCCGAAAACGGTGTCACAACAACTTTGACGCTCTGTACAATTAGTTGCTAACACATTTTCTAATCGTATGCATTCCTCTTTAATTAACATAAAGCTACTTAAGGATGTCCGATGCTTCGACAGAGTAATTTTCTTTATTTGCAGTAATCAATAAATAGTAAATCAATGTCGCGTACAGTTGAAAGGTCTCCTCGCATTCCCCTCGTCGTTCCGGAACTTTCGAGAAAAGAAGAGACGCCCAAGGGCAAGTCTCTCTTGCTTCAACCGCCGCCGAGGCCCGCAATGTTTACATCGCGGGCCGATTGTGTTGATCGGCTCGCGAGCGACGACACTTTTTGCCCTTCGTATTATAATACTCGTGCGCCTCGCGTATTCGACCTTATTCCATCAGCAGCAGCCGTGCGCGACGCGCTCGTCACTTCCGTCTCGTATAATTGAAAGAAATGTATCTCGTCGATCCTCGAGATACTCAATCGGCATCGCGTCGCCATCGCGTTGATTAACCGCACGGTCGAATCACGAGTATCGGCATTAGAAGCGTGAGCGAATGAGATTCGGAGGACTCCAGCAGCCGGGAAGCAGGACGCCGATAGCGATACTCCACGTTTCCAGGTATGTGGAATCATTTATTATGCGGGAGGTCTCCGATAACGAGAGCGGACGTTTGACGAATTTTCCGGGAATAAGAAGTCGAAATTTCGCGCTCGGCATTCACAATCCGTCATCATCCGACTAATAATCATGACTTTATGAATCTGCAATTATTCTCGTCAATCTCTGTCTGTCTATCTATTTATTTATTGCGTTATTGTATACAAGAGATATTGATCCAGACAGAGACGGATAACGGTCGATGAACGCGGATCTCTAATTCATCATGTTCTCAATCAAACATTCTGAATAATTCCCAACTGTGTGAGTATACCGGTCTTGTGTAGAATGTTCAACGTCATACCGCTTCTTAGATTGCGATCTTTTATGTTTTCGGTCAGCGCTTCTTTCGAGTCTATTTACTCTCGTTACGGGATCTAAATTTAAATGTCCATTCGTAAAAGAGTATTTTCGAGACCACACAACTTTGTTGTCTCCGCTTCTTGTTGTCATCTTTTTTCGTCAGCTCTTTCAAGAGCTCCAAGTCCTATCTAGACTTTCAATGTCAATAAAGAAAAAAAAACCGTAGCGAATATTCTCCACTCATCCCGACCAAACATTCTTTCTCTACCGCAACTTACCAACCAAGAACGCTAAATTTTTGTTCCAGACGTTGCAGGAAGCAAGTCCGGCGGACGCGAATGCCGCACCGGAAGATCCGGTTCGGGCCAAGCAGAGTCGGTCGGAAGGTAAAGTTTACAAGTTTCCTACACATCTGTGTTCAACCCTTTACGATCTTTGTCTTTGCAACTCGTTCCTCATTAGCTCTCTTGAAAACTTGAAGTCTCATTTAAATTTTCAATGTTGGAACAAAAATATAAAGATAAAAATTCCGTATCAAAATATATCCGTATTTTCGATCCGTCCCGATCAAAGATATTCTCTCTCTACCGCAGATTATTAACTGGGAAAATTACTTTTCTGTTTCAGTTGTTGCGGAAAGTAACAACAATCCGGCAGATGCGGATGCCGTACCGGAGGATCCGGTTCGGGCCAAGCAGAGTCGGTCGGAAGGTAAAGTTTACAAGTTTCCTACACATCTGTGTTCAACCCTTTACGATCTTTGTCTTTGCAACTCGTTCCTCATTAGCTCTCTTGAAAACTTGAAGTCTCATTTAAATTTTCAATGTTGGAACAAAAATATAAAGATAAAAATTCCGTATCAAAATATATCCGTATTTTCGATCCGTCCCGATCAAAGATATTCTCTCTCTACCGCAGATTATTAACTGGGAAAATTACTTTTCTGTTTCAGTTGTTGCGGAAAGCAACAGCAATCCGGCGTACGCGGATGCCGCATCGGAGGATCCGATTCGGGCCAAGCAGAGTCGGCTTGAAGGTAAGTTTACAAGTTTACTATAGTCCTCTGTTTGATCCTTGGCGATCTAGAGCTGGGATATAATTTCCGGCTCGACTTGAATTACGATCGCAGAGGGTAAACTACTCTTTTACTCGCCCGCACTCGGTGGTCACATCTGATGAGCGAATGTGAATTTTTTGTTACAGAGTTGAAGCGGAACGTGGCCGGCTCTGACTGCAAGTCGTTTCGGTGAGTAAATACAAAATGAAAAGAGAAACAAAATTCCGCATGACGGATGTGGGACTATGGGAGATAAAATATCGTTCGAGTCAATGCGAATTGCAAATAGATTCTTGCATGTGTGTGTTTGTGACGTTGAATAAAATACATTGCTCGAAACAATCAGGGGATTACTTAATCGATAGCCTGCATTACATACGAGATTGAAAATACCGAATGATTCTCTCTCGATGTTCAGTCATCTGAATAAAAGATATTCATATCTACAAACGCGATACCGTCATCAGTTACTTTATTTTCATTTTTCAAGTGGGCCGCAGAATTATTTAACGACAATTATTTGACAATATTCAATTATCCGTGTAAAATATATTCATACGCATAAATGCCGAGACCGTTGGCTACTTTTCTTTTATTTGCAAAACAGGCTGTAGAATTATTTGTCCTTTCATCACGATCCCTATTGTCTCGAGTAGCGTATAATGCGCGCAGAAATTGCGCCAACGCACGCCGAGCTTGAGGTATCCTCGCTCACGTGCCTTTGAATATCGCGGTATTCCGTAATATACGCGTTTTTATCCTCGCTGCTAACAAAGAAAGCTTAAATTCTCAAGTATCGCCAAAGTCTCGCGAACGTAAGCTTCGTCGTGACGGAACTATCATGCGTGAAAACTTTGCCCCGCTCTCTCTCTCTCTCTCTCTCTCTCTCTCTTTGCGCTCCCTCGGAGTGACCGGTTTCTAATTGTTTAATCTTTCCTCGCAAATATTCTCGTAAATATCGATACTCCCGCATTTTCGCGACTTTTCAGACGCGATCGCGATGCCGTAAAAATCCGTTGGACGAGTCGATAAATTTGTACACGGTTCTTACTCCTCGCCGATCGAGTTTATAGAGCCCGTTTCGCAGCGCGTAGAAAGTTTTCACCGATGTCGACGTAAAACGTTCGTTAATTAATCGCAAATATCGCCGCTCTCATATAAGTATCGACCGCGTCGCGGAAGTGTGGCGAAAGTGTAGCAATCAACGTGAGACACGCTGCGAAGTGGATGCTGCGCGACATGGAGAGCGGCAGCGGACATGGACGGACATTGGTGGATCTGGTTGGATGCAACGGGACATCATCAATATCATCATCGGTGAGCGTTTGACTCAATGCTCGCAGAGAGCTCTTTTATTATTACATTGTGCATGCCGCAAATTTGCATTGACTTTTGTAACGAAAAATATATTCCATGAATTATTGCCATATATTATTGCTATATATTATTGCCATATATTGTTGCCATATATTATTGCCACATATTGCCATGTATCATCGCCATATATTATGGCCACTTGAAATCGCGCGAGCAATCGAGAAAACAGTGAATTTGCCGATAATCGCAAAGGCGCGCGGCAGACGTCACGGACGGATGCCAGCAACCCGTCGTCTCAGGGCTGCTCGATAACAATGCTGTTGCTGCAATTGAACTTTAAATCACAGCGGCTCCCGGTCGCAGGAAACTGTCTATCGCGGACTAACCCCTCGAGCGGAATGTTCCCGAGAAGCGCTCTTGACATAAACGCTGGTTATAAGCGAACTTGCCTCGTTAGGGCCTCGTCGCGGTATCGTTGTCGCGGAAAATAAGGAAGAAACGCGTCCCACTAGTTCACGCTAGGGAAAAGATTCATGATCGCTGCCCTGAGCAGCTGCAACGCTTCTCCAATCATCTATGTCGGCGCTCTCCTACTCCTCAGATTTCTGTCATTAATAACTCGATAATTATTACGAATCTCGCAAAACCGGTATGAGACTTTTATGTTTGTCTCAACCCAATCTACCCTCACACTTCGGGTTGGCAGCTAATTTTGTAGGACACTTTGTAGGATCTTCATGATATTAATCATACACAATGTCAATTCTTTTTTTTTTGCACATGTTAACATGTTATAAACGTGTAACAATGTGCGAGACCGTGCTTGTCAATTACGCTATTGTGATTGTAGCACGGACATAAACCGCCTGAAAGTGGATGTAGCACGGATTGCCACCACCACCAGGTGGCAGGTTTTACCGCCGTCTGACGTCGAAAGTGAATGTAGTATCGTAGTTGCCCTCTCAATATAGATGCAGATGGCGCCCTTTCCCAGTGCGGAAAGTCGGTGTCGCCGAAAACACCGTGTTGTTGGCCGCTCTCACGTTCCTCTCTGCCGCTGTAAGATTTTCGCGCCGACGCGTTGCGCTCTCTATCGTCGTTTCTTCTTACAAAATCTCGAAGCAAGTCTCGTACGTAATTGCACATGCTGTTGTTGCAGGTAATTTTTACGATAATTACAGTAATCAATTAAGAATGATAGCGAATTAATTTTCGACTTCTTTTATTCGATTTTATTTCTGCCCGAGCACTATCGTCTTATCTTGTATGCTTCGGAATTGTTGGGATAACGCGTTATTGAGGGCAATACATTCCGCCCGCGTAATATCATTTCTTCAAATACACTTTCTGTTTATTTTATATGTATTTAACAATATTTCGTTGATCGCGTTGGCGAGAGATATATTTGTTATAAAAACATTTTTACTATCGCTCACACAGACTTTCAGAAGATTTTTCGGGAATATATTGAACGTGTGAAACGTTTATAAATGTCTCTAAATGTTTTTGGTTATGTCACGAGGTAAGAATGGCTACCTTCTCTTCTGTGCTCGAACGACAAGAAATAAAATGTCGGAAATTAAAAAGTTACGACGGAGAAATGAGTTGCTGCGAACTTCTGTTGAAAGAAACTTTGCTCCGAATCACCTCAGAGGTCCACTTTAAGATTTCTCAAGAATCCTAAAACATCCTGTATACTCTCTCTGAGCTCATAGCGCAAAGAAAACTTTATCCATCCATTCAGAGAAAGTATCTTGAGATTTGCAGAAAAGTTAATTTACAGGAGATTCCATACATTCGTCTTGTTTTTTTTTTTGTACATCGCACTGCCACATTAATTTTTCGTTGAATTACGGGACTCTGGGTCGCGAAATGTGTGCGATCTGGAAATAATAATTGAACATGTCGATTGCTAAAATTCACTAGCCATATCGCGATAACACTCACGCAACAAACATATTACTGACCTACCTTTCAGTAGAAGTTCATACTCACGATGACCTTGTTGGTAGCCTAAACTCTCTGTGATTGAAGGCACGTTCTGATAATACGATCGATACGCCATTATTAATCTAAAAATAATCGCAGAATTCTTCAGCTACTAATGAATAATAACAGTTCCGATAGAATTTTTTTTCGTCGGCCAAGCAGCAATTGTGGTATCCGTTCGCATCTACAGACACGAATCACGTGAAGTTTGTTAAAAGTCCGGATTCACTCTTCGACGATGAAATGTATAAAAATTGAGATACAAACTTGAAAGTCTCTGTGAGCGGTAGTAAAAATTTTGTCAGATACATTTCTCTCTGGCGTTATTAATAATTACGACCGACAATAACGATTAGCTGATTGTTGCTTTTATTTTCAACTTGAGAATTTTTTCAGCATATGTGTTTAAAAGTTACGTTGAAATTTCGCGTCAGCGCGGTAACATAATACTTCATTCAACGAGTATACACTTTTTTTCTTTTTACATACCCGCTGTTTAGGTATGTAGAACGGGGGCGTGGATCGTTATCGCGCGAGAAACAGAGAAATGAGGTTGCTTAAAATTAACATGTAGATTTGTCCAACGTTATCTTTAATACATCGCAATGTAGGATTTTATTACTTTGAAGGCCTAGATCGCCAATCATTAATAAGAAAGATAGTATCACGTCTTTCTCACAAGGAAAAAAATGGCAATGCATCATACTTCATGCACCGCATAAAAATTTCTCACAATTGATCATTCGACTGCGATATTAACCAGAAATCTCATTCTTCTTGTTTTTATACATTCCTTCTTTCTCGATTCCTTCGGATGTTTCTCTCATCGACCATCACGTATTCTGCACAAGACCTTGTCAAATTATTAAATTAATGTTAAAGTATTAAATAAATGAAAAAGAAACGTCATTTTATGAAAGGAGAATCAAATTTACCGAAGGGGATTCGTAGAACGGCGAGAAAGAATTTCAAGTTTAACGAGCCTCTTCGGCCTCCGGTCTCCGAAACATTCAGTAGAAGAGTAACGTATTTTCATCAGCTCGCGGGAACCATAATGATCCGCGCTACACCCACTGTTTATCTATGCCACATATCACAGATGGAGGAGTTAAGTGACATTCTGTTTGTTCGACGTCACGATGCTCTATTTTGAGGGGGCCGCGTTACGCTCCGCACACCTCGATATCAAGTTACAATGTAACACGCATAGTTTTCACATATGGAAAGCCTCCTTGTGAAATTAGTACTTGCTAATTACTGCTCGCCAATTAGTACTCGCGTCTCTCATTAACGTTGTAAACTCTTCTCGTACACGGAGGCGCACTCCACGCGTGCGATACACGAGCCGCGTCCGTCACACGGCAGAAATAAAATCGAAATCGATCGAAACACACACGTACACCGTCTCTCCCTTTTCGTATCTTGAACTCGCTTCTTTCGCTATTCCATATCTTTCTGCAGGAAAAAGATGACAGCGCCTGATGACGACTTACTCGTGACTCGGCTCTATCGTTGCATCGCCGCCGCTCACACGGTCTGTATAAACTGATATAATTCTTTGCTTTTGTTTTATTACGTTATTCCACGGATCGTCAATCTCAGAGCAGTTAACAGCATCTGACCGGCGACGACGGTGCGCCGTGCTGCCAAGAACTCTAATGGTCTCTCGCACTCGTCGTCGTTTCTGCAACGATTATGTCGATCAGTTTTTCATCGTGTTTTCCCGCGAGTGTGGACAGTAGTTGGCTGAGGAAGAGAGGAGAGGTGCCGTCGCGATGAAAGGCGGTGAACGGTGATGACCGACCGGAACGTTATTTCGCCGTGCCGTCAGTTTTTGAACGTGAGACGTACTCGGCGACGTCCAGTTCGATATTAATTGCTCTTTTTTCTTTCTCCCGCGCGCGCGCGCGCGTTACGTTAATATTTACACCGTCGCCGGTGGATTGATATCGGTGCGTAAGACACCGGAAGTGTCATGCGTCAGCACGCGCACACACATATACACACACGTGTACGTACACGTGACACACATATCATTCTCCATTTATCTTAGCGACATCGCCGTTAAAGCCGCTCCAAGTGGAAGAACTTAGTTTGCGGCCCGACAGTAGAACGGTCGCGTCGACGGCGGACGCGATGCCGCGTATAATCGCAAAAAGCACTCAGAGCAGTTAGAGCAGTCTCCCATGATTCGCAATTATTCGGCAATTTGGACCCTCCGTTTGACGGATCGGGCTCGTCGCTTGGCTCGAACTTCGACAGCGAAGTGCTGTAATTTAGGACGGACCACTTTTGATCGCGACGCGAGTGTTATCGGCGTGAGAATTGTTTCGGGCCCGTTTCAGTATTCGCTCCGGTGGAGGAAAGACGACAAGCGGTAGCAAGCTTCGGTGCCTACCTTCGCATTTTTACAAAGCTCTTCGCAAAGGTAGTCGTTTAATTCTGCGGAGCCCGCACGCGTCTCACTCGTCCTTGGCATTTACATTCATATTGCAAATGTATGCGCTTCTCAGTCAGCGTATAAACGTATCCTGCCTTATTTCTCTCCTACCTCATATATGAAACACCACACATTGAACACTGCTGCATTCCGCTGCGCTGAGAGTCAAGATCGCGCGTCCGCATTTTTACAACTTTCGATCGGCTGTCTCATTTTTAATACGTAAAATACGCGGGATGTTTCGCTCGGCGAATTTTTGCGGCGCATGTACGCTCGTCAGACCTTCGCATTGTTTGAATTAGCGTGCGCTGCAAAGTCCTTGTTATGTTGTGACGTGATCCCCCTTCGACCCCGTTTTGTTGAGTTTTGCGTCTCTTCTACTACACGTGCTTCAAGAATCTCATTAGAAGCAAAATAAAGACGTACCAGACGACACACTAGAAGAAGAAGCATTTAAATAAAAACAACCGGCACAGAGGTCGCACTCGCGAACTTCGCGATTTCCCCGACGATAGCGTGTTGCCGTGTCGCGAGTTCTCCTGTCGCAATCGATCTCTCTTTCTTCTTTTCTCCTCTCGCACGAGAAGGCGGACGAAAAAATTTCTCCGTTTTCCATTTATATCTCTCTCTCTCTCTCTCTCTCTCTCTCTCTCTCGGCTCTCTCGGCTCTCTCGGCTCTCTCGGCCCGCCAAGATTGATGGCATGATGGTGACTCTGAGTGACGTACGACCGCTCTTGCACATCGCAAGATTTTTCGGATGCGGGTTCTATGTAGTCGGCGAGGACGATATCGTGCCGATGAGGCACGGCGCCGTTTACACGGCATCGTTCGCGTTGTTCTATACGGCCGTTTGCGTGATGAATTTTTACATACTCTCGAAAGAGGACGTGCTAGGGCCGCGACTGCTGGCGCTCACCATTGCGAGAACCGGCCTCTCGTACACTTGCGTCATGACCGACATCGCGTTGACCTTCTGGTCAAGCTGGAAAGTGCGTGCCGCACTCTCGCAATTACGCATCTTCGACCGAGCCACCAGGTACAAGGAGCACGTCAAGTCTGACACGGTGCGTTACGTCTGTTGGGTCCTGCCGTTCGTCATCATGGTGTTTTGGTCGATTGCCGGATATCTGACGTTTCGGTGAGTACCGATGCTCTTAGCGGCGGAAGAAAGAAGGAGGATAGTTGACGACACGTCGCACGATCTTGAACAATAGTGAAAAGCATACACTTGGATTGCAACGTCCTTTTCTAATGCTGTAATACCTGTGGCTGGACAAGATTCCGATTCTTTTGTCTTTTAATACAATCAGCAGTTTTATTGCCAACATAAAGAAGTGTTATTTCCTGTTGTGTTCGCTTTCTTCTTGTTGCTTCGTAGATCCGCATGTAACTTCCGCTCTCGAAACTTCCGGAACACCACTGAAATTTTGAGCGCGAAGTCAAGGCTGGAGGATATTAAAATATCCAGACATCCTCTTTGTATGATTTAAAGGAAAAGTTTTCAATGCAAGTATCGCTCTTGTGTAATAATGGAGAAATTCATTCTGTTACAAAATTTAAATACAAGAAAGCTAATTAACACTTCACTTTCCGACGTAATTCCAACTTCCCAGTCTTTTTTTCGTTTTTTTTTCTTTTTTTTGTTGAAGAGATATATATCGGAGAGTAGCAAAGATGATTTCATCGTCATTTTCACAGCTTTGTTTGTTGTCGCAGTTGTGAGCCCAAAGATCCACTATTCAACGGTCTAACTTACACTTTCATCAACACTACGCTGTCGATGCAGCTATTGAGATTCATCAGCCTGTCGTTCCTTCTACGTGAGAGATTTCGTCAACTTTGTGAAATATTGCTGCTGCCCGAAGGTGAGTCGACCGCAAAAAGCGATGGCAAAGAGTGATACGTTTCTTGCGTTTCGCGCTAGTTCGTGCGTCAACGACTAATTTATTGATGAGCATTCTCTCGGGCATCGTTAAGCCGCTCTCGCGGGATTACTAAAGGAAATTGCGAAAAAAGAAATCTCAAAAATTTATTTAGAATATATTTGCTTCAAATATTATTCAAATAAATGACACATATGATAAATATTTACACAAAATATTTCTCTTCTCATCGATTTCTCGTGCTGCCTGGTGCTCGGGAGAGATTTAAGAATGTCCAATCACCGCTCTTTCAAAAGCAATCCCTTCGATCATTCCCGCGAGATTTTCCTTTCCTCCCTTTGTGCGTACATTTGTCCTCACCTGTTATTATTAACGTTTCCTTCCCCTCTCGCGCCGTACCCCGACACGCTTGTTTTCCCACGCAGCTTGCCTGATGAAGGCAGGATAACTGCGTGAATCGTAGCGTTCTATATATAAATAACTCATCATCATTGACCTACCAGATTTTTATTGCGAACTAGAATCTTTGAGCCGACTTCAAAAGACACCCTGAGAGTTATCACGTGTTGTCTTGTCGACGCCACATTGTGACATTAAAGGAAAAGAAATCGAGTAAAGAGAACCGTGTGTTACGAAAATTTTGTCGCGACCACTGCTGTCGAGTCGCAAATCGAGCGGAAATCAAGTAGGATTTAAAGATTCTAATTGAATCGAAATTAAATCGACGGCTAAGCGTGTCGACGAAACTGAAACGTTCTTGTACACCAGTTCTTCCAATTACCAAGAGAGATCTGTTTTACATCAATTAGAAATAGCAAAATTATGCCGAAAGGATCAAGACAGCAGCTTCGCGCAAGCTTCAATTGAAATTCAATTTGAACTATTTCGTTGAATCTTCTCTTACAGCGTACGTTGCGATCCATAATGAGTCTTACGAAAATACAGCCCGAGCAAACAGTCGCCAACAATATATGATCCTTTGAGTGGCGCCTCTCGCTTTCTAACGCTCCAATTAAAAGTGCCAGGGGAATTTTCGTGACAATGACGAATCGAAGGGAGGGTACATGACAAATGTAACATAATGGCTACATTATTATTCCGTGACCATTACCGTAACTCTACTCGATCAGCGCTCGATCAAACACGCGCTATTGGCACGCGAGCGCGGATTTTGCGCGGAGTCGCGAGGATCGTCTCTGGCTTATGCGATACCGCGTGTTTAAAATAGACGGCAAAATCATGGTGGTGGATCGATCGGCCCGGCAGCTGCGCTTGCAGGAAGTGTGGTGGCTGCACTCGTGCCTCGCCAACGCCACGGAGCTGATAAATTCCGTATACGCGGTGCAGCTTCTGCTGTGGATCGCCGGTGGGGCCTTCAACACCCTAACGCGCCTTTACACGATGAACGAGCACAACTCATTGTCGATCTTCCTCATCGCGAGGGAGATAATGATGGTGTCCGCTTGCGCGACGAATCTTCTGCTCATTACCACCGTCTGTCACTCGATCGCGGCGCAGGTACGTCGTACCATCCCGTGGAAGGATTCACCACCTGATTGACCACGTGATTGATCGTTTTCACTTTTTTTCTCAAAGGCAAACCGTGTTGGGAAGATTGCCTTCTCGCCGTCATCGGCCATTGTCGCGAAACGCAACCTTGCGCAGGTAAAGTGGCGAGTTCCAACAATTGTCCTTCCATCGATTTTGCCCATTCGCGTTCATTCTGATTTTAACATATCAGCTATCTCTCTCTCTCTCTCTCTCTCTCTCTCTTTCTCATCCCTCAGCCTCCTTCTCCGTCGCTTCTGCCAATTTTGCGGAGAATAACGATTTAATCAAAATTTCAAGCTATTACTCGAAAGACAGAGGATACGCGCGGTGTTCACAGTGTAGCGTCCGACCCACCGCCGAAGGATCGATTACAAGACCAAGTACAATCAGCGGAGAACTATGTGGCCAACAATTCACCTACCGATACATTCATTAAACCCGCTACTTGATTAAACTGAAATCGATTAAATCGAATCAACAGCTACTATCGCCGACGTGTTTGCTGACGATATTGACAATTGTTTTTCTCTCTTTCCATCTTTTTTTCTTTTTGTGTATTCAATCGACTAAGTGAAACGGCCGACAGTCGTAATTAACTGCGGCAATATTATTGTGCGCGCCGTCTCCGGTATGTTGTTGTCCCTAGCTCGTTATCGCGTAATCAAATGTCATTTCCGTCGAAGTAATTACATCGAGTGTACTTCCTTACTGTTTCCGTTTCTCCCGACTGTGCGATTCTAATACGTGGGAGGTGTCATACGGAGAGAAACTTATTTACCGCTTGCTCCTTTTCTCCAAGCTCCGCAAATGTTTACAGACGGCACCACTTACATTATATCCTCGAATACTTGTCTCTCAAATCGAAAAGATCTAAAACAAATAATACGATAGTAAAGGACGGTGAGAGGCGATTATATGGGTCTCGTTTGTATTTATTTACACAAACGTATTATATGTACATTGTGTCTCAAAGAAATATTGGATTGGCAACTAAGTGATCGCGGATTTTAAATAAGAATGAAAATTCAAAATTTTTAATTTGCCTTTTTAAATTTTTTTCAATGCATGTATGCGATACATTGAGCTTCTCTGCAATATCACGTGTTGTGCTATGACGATCTGAATCGTTAATGGCCTTGATATGGGTCTCATCGACTTCAACTGGACGGCCAGATCGTTGAGCATTTTTCAATGAAAAATCACCAGAACGAAATCTGGCAAACCAATTTTGACACTGCCTTTCTTTCAAGGCTTCATTCCCATATACGGCACTTAACTTCTTGTGTGCTTGCGATGCGTTCTTGCCTTTTCGGAAATAATACAATAAAATATGTCTGAAGTGCGCACTGAAGTCTTGCTCTTCCATTTTTAAATTGGGATAAAAACAAAACTGAACAACTAATCGATATAATTTTTGTACTAAATGAAAGGTAGAAGTCCAAACGATAAGAAAAAAATATAGGTTAGGTACTTTGAACACGTTAACGAAACAAAAGAAAGTGTAAAATCCATCTGTCGACAAAATCCGCAATCACTTAGTTGCCAACCCGATAGTTTCACAATCTGTCAATTGAAGATCCGCAATATCATGAAATTGAACGAAGCGACGAGAGTCGCTTCTATCTCTGCCGGCTGATTCTCTCTTTCTTTTCTTGAAATACGTCACACCGCGTCTTCAGCGCGAGGCTAATAAGCGACCCTCGAACAATTACAGGATTGCAGCGTGGACGCTGCAACGTACTTTCAGCTGCATCAGCTGCATTTCTTCGCCGCTGCCGGACTCATACGCATCGATCTTCCTCTGCTTCTGTCGGTGAGTCGCGGCGAGAATGGAATGCAGGAAAATAGATCCCCCCGCCGAAATACCGGAGGCATTTGTGCGTCGCAGTAGAGATAGGGAACGGTAAAGCGTCACGAGGACGCCATGGAGAGCGTTTCGAGAGAGCAATCTATATTATTTCAATCTTGATAAGGGACGCGACGCGACGCGACGCGCCGGCGTCACTTTGAAACGAGGTAACCTATTATTTAGTCGGGCGCGCGCCGCCTTATTGCAAGACAGCGGAACTCGTTATCAGCGCTCAAGTAATTATCTAGACTTCCGAGAGACGCGTTTACTCACCGCGTAATTCTCCTCGTTATCTTACCGAGGCGCAGTCGGAAGCAACGCTAATTCCAGTCTCGCTTTTTATTAATTATCACGTTAAATTCCCCGGTCCCGAAATCTCGCCTCGACTCGCGTTGTGCATAGCAAGTCGCGAAATCGATCCGAAAATCTCGGCGACTCTCAATTGGGGGGGGGGGGGGGTCGAATCCTCTCTCGACGTAGATCAGTCGCGCGAGTTCATCTTCGCAACTTCTTTCCTTCACGCCTTCGCAGATAGCCTCCGGTATCACCACGTACCTGGTGATCCTTCACACGGCCAACAACTAACGTAATCTCTGTGATTGAGAGGCTCATCGTTGCACTCGCGCGACCAGCCGTTCGTTTGATCGATCGACCGATCGATCGATCAGCCGGGCGCCCCGCTAATTCCATAAGCTCGTGCGGACCGAAGCGCGCCGCCGGAAAAGAGCAGGCGTCCACGACGACGTTCACGCGGAAGATAAAGAATTGTGCATGTATGTATGTATGGGGACTACGTTTTCGTCTCGTCGCTGTCGATTAATCTTTGACATCAAACGCTGCAGATGGGAACGCTGGAGGGAACGAGCGTCCGTCTGTAATAGAATACACATGAAATTCGGCCGGTCTTTTGCGAGAAAACACAACGTGCGGCAACACGAGCCTTGAGCGCGTCGTAGTGATCGAGAACGAACAATGGATGCCGGATAAAAAAGAGAAAAGAGACAGGAGAGAAAGAGGGAGAGAGAAAGAACGAGAGAGAGAGAGAGAAAGGAAAAATTTGGACATTGTTACTTGCCTCGCTGCCTTTGTGAGAGTCGCGTAGTTAGTGATTTGGAGGGACAATGGCAATAATCGCGGGGCATCCCAGCGTATCGCGGCGAGGATGGTGGCCAAACTCGGCTGGCTCGAGTTGGCAGAGGTGGCTAATTTCAGGACACGAGGGGGGAGTGCGTTGCGCTTTGTGTCGCGAAAGCTCGTGAAAACTCTCCGGGAAAACCTGTAAAATGTAGCATGGCGATGCGGAAAAGTACTCGGCGGCGGCAGATTTGCCTGCGTTCTTTTGTGTTCTGCTTGCGAGCGCTCGACAAACAGCGTCGGCGCGGGAAGAGACAGACATTCGATTTATTTGAAGGAAGGAAGGAAGGATTCGCGCACCCCCAGCGATCAATCTCGCTGACAGCCGGCGTAATACCGGCGTGCGTTGAACGGGGAAGTCCGGGTGGAAAGTCCCGATCGTCATTTGAGATTACAACGGACCCTCTGCGGCGCGTACGAAGATTCAATTCGACGGACTCCGGTCCGACGAGTGGTAAGGATCGGTGTATCTTTTTTGCGTATGTCTGTGTGTGTGTGTGTGTGTGTGTGTGACGAGTGGTGTTTTCATGAAACAGGATTGTAAATTTAAATACCGTAGAGAACCGTGGGGCGCCGGTGGCGGAATTGCGGAATCATACCAGCGGCGTTTATCTTGGAGCGCGAGTAAATAGACGGAAAGCAGAGGATCGCATTCCGGATCGAACAACGTCGAACGCTTCCGAATTCTTCGTTTGCCGCCGATGTCGGCGGATATCTAATTAGAGAGCAAGCGGATCGGATCGGTCGGATGTTAATTCTACGAAAGTCCACGCCTCCTTCGGTAACAGGTAACAAATATTGTTGACTGTAGTCAACAATATGTTCAGCTCTTTCATACTCGTCGACGCGCAGTTTCCTATTCGGAAACCTCGCCGAGCCTGTAATTTTTCCGTTGCTAGTTCTCTGTCGGAAGTTTTCCGCCGTTTTCCGCCGAATCGCGCACTGTGTTATTCTTGCAGAAATCCTCTCTCTCTCTCTCTCTCTCTCTCTCTCTCTCTCTCTCTCTCTCTCTCTCTCTCTCTCTCTCTTTCTTCTCTATACTTAAGCTTCATAAGTCGCGTACAAACCATCTATTAAATTAGACCACGCTGATTGAATATTACATGTGCCACGCGCGCGAAAGTTGTAATTGAGAAAGTTCCGGCAGGAATATTCGCAATCATTGATATTAATTACCCCGCGGAAAGAAGAAGCGAAAAGAACAAGTTCGTCGTGCTACTGCGAACTTTCCGTTTGCCAGCCGAGCGAGTCTTCCGCGCGAGTTTATTACGCGAGCGTCGCAATTTATTTCACCGAGCGCAGGTACGCATCTTCAAATTTATTCCGGAATGATTACTGAAATTTGCCATCTTTTTAATATATTTCATCACGGACGCGCCGACGACAGGCTTCTGAAGCGTTTGCGGTGCGACGGCGACCGCAACCGCGCTGTTTCGGCGTCGTCCGCCGAAATCCAACGCGCGATTCCCATTTGGAGCAGCCGGCGCGTGCGGAGGCGGATGAAACGACCAGGGGATGCAGGACGCAAGCGCGCGCTGCGATCCGTCAACGTGCGCGCGAGCGGGGCTCACGTCGCCTCTAAGACCGGCGGCGGGAGCTGCGATTCTTCCCATCAGTTCGCCGTAGACCCGCATCCGCAACTTTTCGGCCGCAAGCGGCCTGCGCGACCCAGCGAGAGAGAGAGAGAGACAGAGAGAGAGAGAGAGAGAGAAAGAGAGAGAGAACTCTCTCTCCAACCCCTCGACCTCGTGCGGGCTCGAATCGCGCTCGATCACAGTTCACTACGCTTCGGGACGACAGCTCGCCGAGTATGCACGTCGCGAGCGGATCGGCAAGAGAGACACGAACACGTGGATAGTACGAGAGGCAGAGTCGGGGGTGATTGTGAAGATTGATTCGCAAGGATTCGATCAGCGATATGGTGATGTTGTAACATTGTGTGTATCTGTATGTATATCCCGCTGCGGGGGACGCGCGGATTTCGATGCACGGTGATCGGCGACTGTCATGGCGCAAATTGATCTCGCCCGATTGATCCGATCGATTTTGTTCTCGTGTCGTCGGCGGCGCAAAGACTCGAGAGCGCAATAATTCCGGTGAGTTCGAACTTCAATTACTGCGCCTACACACGAATTCGAGTTTCCCTTCTCTCTCTCTCTCTCTCTCTCTCTCTCTCTCTCTTTTTTATTCTCTTTCTGTCTCTCCCTTTATTTTTTTGCGCTCATCCCGGACGTTGAAACGCGCGATAACTGACACGTGTGTTTCGCGACATCGACAAATTATACTCGCCGGGATTAAAACGATTTTAATCTGCCAGTCTGCGCAAATTTGCGCAATTTTGATTATTACAATGGCGTGTAACAGTCTCGATAAAACGTCATCTCTTTTCCTCTCTGCCCTTCTGTCTCTCTCTCTCTCTCTATCTCTCTCTCTCTCTCTCTCTCTCTCTCTCTCTTGATAACAATTGACGAGGGTTTTAATTCCCGACGGAAGTATTAATCTGGATTTGCTGTGACCGTTATTATTTTTTTTTCGCAAATCCAGATTACACACCAAAATAAAATGGAGGCTCACGGTGACGTAACTTGTCACATCTTTCGATAACTTTAAAAATATCGCTAAAAATATCGGAAGAAAGGGAGAGAAAGAAATACAGCGTATTATATACAGGGTGTTTCAAAAAGTATAAGGTAGTTGCAGTGATATTCTTGTCATCAAGACAAACCAGAAAGTTCCCACAGACATCGTGTCCAAAACGCTTGGTCAGAAAGTTAATATCGAGTCAAGATTAAAAGAATAAATTTCGATGTTAATGTGATATGGAATTTTTTATTTACTGTTTACAAGGAATTAAACAACATCAACTGCCGCGATGATTAATATTCATATACACGCTCGTATTCACGTTCATATAAATATTCAGTGGTCCGTTTCAAAAACTCTCGGCTCGAAATATGTTCCTCCGACTCTGAAAACTCCCGAAATTCCCAGGGAATTAAGCATAATTAACTTCGGCGTTTCCAAATCGTCCTAACGTTATGCTAATGTTTGTTAATGTCGATCGGCAGCGTCGTCGAAAGACGGAACAAAGCCCCGTCGACACTCAGCGTCACCTTCAACACTAACACGTGGACGAGAAATATAGGCCAATCTTCAGCTACCTATTAATCCGCGATTAAGTCAATAAGAACCCAAGAAAGAGAGAGAGAGAGAGAGAGAGAGAGAGAAAGAGAAAGAGAAAGAGGGAGAGAGTACCTTTCCGCCTCTCCCGAGTGCACTAGCTCTAGCACGATGTTTTAGGAATGACGGAATCATCGGCACGATTCATCGACGTGTTTCGTTAAGACATTATTATCGCCGACCGAGAAATGTTTACTGCCGTTTGACGTTTGTGACGTCTCTTCGTAATCTTATTAATGTCTCTCTGACGGCTGACGGTGACGCGTCAAATATGCGTGTCACGCACTCACCTATACTCGAGCTCAAGCGATTTAATCTCGATCGTATTCGCGCTGTCCTATTATATCGACAACGTTCAGCTCACAATAGCGTCGCCGGCGGCAATCTCGCGACTCGCGAGCACTGCGAGGTAGATTTCGAAAGAATCCGTTTGGAGATTCATCTCGGGCCCGGGAGACGTCGATCGCGTGTCGTCTCGACGACGACGTCGCGACGTCGCTCCTGATGGAGGCGAATGTAAAAGACAGACAGATGAAATGAGAAAATGGAGAAAAAAACGAAGTTTCGCGCCGGGAATCCCCCCCTTCTCTCGATTGCATACGAAGGACCTGTCCGCTTTTCCGTCTGCCGTCGTTATTCCCGTGCCGCGTCTCGCGAAGGGACCAGCGCCTCCTGCTGAAATCGCGACGCTCTCACACGCACGTACGCGCGCCATATTAAGCTCGTATTCAACATATTTCGGTGTTCCGCGGCAGATCGTTCTTTCTCGCAGCGCTCGTATCCACTTACGCGTTCACGGTATCAGTGCGCGCTTAATTGGACCGCGACGAAAACATCTCTTTGCCTCCGTCGTGGCGAAAGATGAGACATGTTTATTATTCACTAATTATAGCCCGCGGCCAACCGCGAGATCCAGCTGATAGCTTTGTAATCTCATCCCCGTGCCTGCGCACACCTTCGCGATTGCCTCGCTTTCATCCTACGACGACGACATGTCGACGTAATGCGACCGAAAAGCAAACGATTTAACGATCCGTCGCGGGAGCACACACACACACACTCTCTCTCTCTCTCTCTCTCTCTCTCTCTCTCTTTCTCTGTCGTTCGGCTACTATAAGCTCCGTGAGTTTGGATTTCCGCGATTCCGCTACGTGGACTTCTATCGGTTCTGAAATTCCAAGATCACAACGAGGCTCCGTCGTCCCTCTTGTCTTGTTTTTCCCTGATCAAAAATTGAACACGCTAAATTTACTTCTGCTTCAAGCATCGAGTAAAAGCCGCTCGCAAGGAGAGGAACACGCCCCTGCGCCTTTCCGCGCAGTTGAATTACACCGGGCAAGAGGAGTAACGGAGGAAACGGCCGTTTCGTGCGCGACTTCTTCCGCGGCTTTCCCTCTGGCCTCTTTTCCACAACGTTGCTCACATGTACCCGGCCAGACCAGCCGACTGCATCAGCTGGCTGCTATTGCAACATCGTTTCCGAGCGTTGCGCTTTCGTTGTTGATTCAAAACTCAGGGCAAGGTACATTTCGTACATGCTCGAGGGAGGAAGTCCTTTCACCGCTCACGTAGCCGAGAGGTGAAGTACGTCAGCTGAGGCTGCTGTACCCCGTCTTGAGATCGGTCTGAGAGAGAGAGAGAGAGAGAGAGAGAGAGAGAGAGAGAGGAAGAGAGAGAGAGAAAGGACTCCGTAACAATGAGGATGAACGCGATCGGTGTCGCGTCGCCAAACGCGTCGGCGGTGGCTGCAACTTCGCCGAAGATTGAGCTCGCCTACGACAACGGGTCGTTCTCGTCGATCTCCTACAACGACAGCGTGAAGATGGACCTCAGCGAGATACTATGGGATCTTTACGACAAGTTCAACGGCGAGACTAACTATCTGCTGATCATCCTCTACGTGCCGGTAATAGCGATCGCCGTGACGGCCAATATACTTGTGATCGCGGTGGTCTTCAAGTACCATTACATGAGGAGGTACGTATATTAGAAGAGAAGATCAAACAGGTTGAATAGAACGCAATTTCAGAGTCGCGTGCAAGCAATTAACTAGCCCCTATTTTTGCAGCGAAATTTTCAGGTTTATTTTATTTCTCGTATGTTTAGAGACACACTTCAAAATTTCGTGTGTCAGCGAGCAATCACATTGTGCTGATGCCTAGTCCTTCGTTTTGATTTGTCTCCTGAAAACAAGTCGAGCATTCTTCATACCGCAATATATGTAAATAAAGTCAACCCGACCCGAGATGGATGAAATTTTCGATAGTTGAAGGAATACATAATATCTAACGTCACGCACATCAAACTACTTTCCAGTCTCGGCTAATTGGTTTAAATTCCTACGCCGGTCTGTCTTGATTTTCGTCGGACTTTGTCGCACGACGTGATTGGCGTGACAATAAATTTGCATAATCCTGAAACTGAGTTCTCCTGCCATCCGAATTTTCGTCAGTTCGTCAGTCGTGCAATCGCGACATCTGTCTGTGCGCACAAAGTCTCGGAATAATTCCCGATGTTCCCTCAGCGATTGCACGCTAGAATGTAGAATGTGATTATAGAAGTCACTTAACGTCTCAAACGTTAGCAACAATTAATTAATTACGAATGTTGTCTGTACTTTCGTCGGTATTCTGCTATCTGCGGATGCTGATACAACTTCCGCGCGAGTGCATGATACGATTAATCAAGCGTGACATTCGCGTGCGCATATTGCGCGTTATTACGGTGACGCTTCGGTAGAGACGCGGTCCAGGCTTACGGTATTTCCAACGTCACTTTGTGAAACTGACTCCATTGCGGCCCGACGTGCGCGGGACAATAATTCGAAACTTGCAGACGGCTCGATATCTCCTCGGTTACCTGAAATTCGCTAAAGAATTCCGACAACGCGAACGCTCCAAGTTATCCGGGAGAGACTCTCTCTCGGCCGAACACTCGGATGCGAAGACTCGCGACGTCCAAGTTTGGCGAGAGACTTCATCGCCGACTTTGTCGCAGTGTCGAAAGTTGCGGAAAAGGCATGTTAATAAACGACCAGCTGTTATATTCAGCCGCTTCGAAGGTTGTACGTTTCACAAAGGACGGTTTTCCTAACAAAACTCGAGTAGGAAGTTTCTAATGACAATCGGCCATGTTGGTCCGTAAAGTTTCAAAAACACAGTGCAATATATCAAACGACATGACTCGAAATATTCAGCGTCGAGGTATTTACTGAATTACAATGCTCACACGTTTTTAATCCTTAATTATCCACGCGAAATGCGAAGTGACGAAAGTGACATCGTTAGGAAGAAAGCGGGAAAGAAAGCGAGCGATAGAGAGAGAGAGAGAGAGAGAGAGAGAGAGAGAGAGAGAGAGAGAGAGAGAGAGCAAATTGGAATTTCCAAGATAATGGACACCGGAGATATACAAACTACCTGCAGAGACAACAGAGATGCACTCGAAAACACCGCAGCCGCGGATCGAAAGCGCTCGGAGCGTAGAGAAATTCTAAATGCGATAAACATTCCCCGCAACGTTTCGGCCTTTTCTCGGTACGTGCAGTCTCGTGCGCACGACGCTTATTTTGCGGTATACGTGTGCGCGCGTATAAAACGGAAAGAAAAAGCAACGGCTACGGCCGAACAATAAAACACCGCGATACTGAATAAAGCATGATTCCAGCTTGATCGTGACGTAGCGTGATGCTACATATCACGCACACCTGAGGCGAGATACAATTCGGGATTCGCCGCGTAGAATCGCTCAGTATTCGAGCTGAAATTCACGACGCGAATCCATCGCGCGGCGGTCACGTCGAGGAATAATCACTGAGAGTAATCGCTTGAGGAAATGCAGTCCGCGGCATTTGCGCTCCTGACTGATCTCCGCGAACTTGGGAATTGCTCGCGCAATGTCCTCGTTAGAGACTCGCAGCTCTCGCGGGTCGCGGGAGAAGAATAGCGGGCGAGCAAATTTGCTCGCGAGGACTTTGTCCACTCGCGGACGCGCGACGATCTGCGCGTCACGCGCGATCGCGTATTGGCATTATCCGAGTAAATCGGCCTTCCGGATATCGCTCTCTGCCGCTGATATAATTCCACGTGTCGCCCCGTACCGGAGATTATTATTCCGTGCGGGAGACACGGGTGCTTCTAATGAATTACCGCAGAATTATTGCGTAAACCTGAGGTATCCGGTGCGCTTAGGAACTTGCTTAGGAACTTGCGCTCCTAAAATTCGGGATTTGTAATCCCCGTCTTCTCTCTCAAGCCCGCTCTGTCGACCCGGTCCCCCGGGGTAAGCCCCCCGGGGTGTATCGACAAGTTTGTCCAACAACAAAAAAATTACCACGGTAAACATATTGCACAAACACACCTCCGGATGGATGCGCGAACGTATGATGTAGCTCGATGGGGGCTTATCGAGAACCGTCGCAAATTTACGGTAAGGCTTATGTGCGAGGGATAGCACAGTATTTTGTCGCCCACGGATGATGTTGCGTATAATACACGTACTCGTTCCTCGTCAATATATCTCATCTCGCCTCGTGACATTTCCTTGCGTAAATATTTACGGGATAATGCAAAATATCATGCATATCTTATGCACGATGAAGAGAGATCAATAAATGGTTATCTGAATGGAAGGATTACAGGGTATCGCACGTAATGCAGCTTTGCGCTGTTTGCGCTTGGTTTTTCCACTTGGTCGTGCAGAATTGCAAATTCCTTCCTCGGGACGAAGATGTCAATGAATCGAAGAATACCAACGTTGGTGGTCACGTTGGAGAAACAAGAGAGAATTTTGTAAGTAAAATTTCTCTTATTTTGGATGCAACACGAAGCAGTCGCCAATTCATCGGCGTTTGTATCTTCGCTCTGCACGAGCATTTGCAATTCTACACGATTAATTCCGGCATCCACCTTAACTTGGACCGATCGCGAATAGCTTATTCTTTTTTCGCATTTTCAAGCGTCGGTCGATCAATATTCCAATGGAAAATTTCGAGATGTATCTGGAAACATTCTCCCGCGGCATGAACTTTCGCGCAGCATTTAATTCGCGGCTTTCAAATAAACCCGCGAAGAATTTCCCTGTTTCTTATGTCGCGGCAAGACAAATCAGAATCTCTTAGCGTTCGGTCACATTTCGCGGATACTTCGTTCGACGTTTGCGTCTGAGATGTCGCTAGAGTCACAGAAGCCGACCTTTCAGCCGGATTATCTTGGCGAGCGCATAGAGATCCAGATCTCGACGGATTGTAATAAAAAGTAGCGAGCGATAATAAAAACGGCGCGAGACGCCGGCTAAATAGTTACGACCGTATGTACACGGCTATCGTGTTTACTCGGGCGGGAAGTACGAGAACGAAGTAGAGCGGGATCCTACGTGACAAAAATGCAGGCAAACATCAGCCGGGCGGACGCGTTTGTACGGGATTGCCTTAATGGAGGTACGCGCGGAATGGAACTTTTCGGATAAAACACACGACTATGCGGGCTTGCGAATAGTATCCGAGAGACCTCGGGCGTCGTCGCGAGAGAGAGAGAGAGAGAGAGAGAGAGAGAGGATCCGCTAACACACATCCCTAATGCTTCATATCTTCTTCCCACTTAATGCTCCTTCTTTTTCTTCTTCTTATTCCGCTGCGAAAAATCGCCGCGAGAGGCGAGCGAACCAGTGTAATTCATAATGGGATACTTCCGCGACGTAATCCCCTCGTGATCTCGCGTTAGATTCACAAAGAACGAAGACTGCGAGGATCGCAGCCGGCGCTCGGCGTGACTTTGCAAATCAACGGTAGTATCGATTTCTCTCCCTCGCAGATACGACCACGTTCTTTCCTCGTTCGGCTCTATTTTCCATATAGCGTGCATGCATCGCGTGCATACGCGACAACGAGAAGATTAATAGCCACCGATTAATTACGGGAAAAGAACGCAATCCCGCTGGAGGTAAATCACGCGACGCGACGCGTGCGCGTCGGTCTATGAAGGCAATGTTGGAGCCGAGCGGACAGGACATTTTCGCAAATTACACGCGGACGATTCAGTGAGATGCTTGACGGCCTCCGAACACATAAACGCTGATTAGCCGCGGCCAGTCGTCGTTCCGCTCGTGCTTGCAACTCGGGCTTGCAGGATGATATTGCCGGCGCTACAAGCAGGATCAAACAGTCAGTCGGTGATTATGACCTTGAGTGCCTCGCGAGCAGGAGGTCAGGCAAATTAGATCCCTGAGGAGATCGCGACTGAGGCGGAATGACTCGCGCGCTATCCTCGCCTAGCGTCGGCCTAGAACGCTTTCACGTCGAGCCATCGATCGGCAGCCGAGCCGATTGATTGCGGAGCATCGCGACTTCCGAGCGATTATTTGCATATAACGTTCGGTTATTATATTCGTGTTTGATCGCGGGTCGCGCTCGCGCCGGGACAAACCTCAAGTCCATAATTGTTTCTGTGCAAACAGGCCCGACAATGTCACGCGCGCGGCACACACGGTGATGCGTGCGTTGCTTGCCTAGTAACTTGTTTATTTACAGAGCGCCGATAACGATACATATAGCGGATAACGCGGTCTCGCGCCGCGTCAAATCGTGTCGATCACCGTGCGATCGTCCTCCGCGAATAAAAATCACTGTTTATACCTCGCGAACGTACGCGGCGTTTATGTTGACACACATGTTGTGTCGTAAATATCTCATTAATTGGATAGATGCACGACATATGTCGGTGTCTCCATGACGATCGCGATGAACGCACGCCGCATCGCGCGCTCCATGTGCGCGTGGCGCGCAATATCTTTCCGCGGGAGTTAACGAAATTAGTCGGAGCGTAAACTTTTGTAAACGTATGACCTGCCGCTCCATACCGGATGACTTTAAAAACTATCCTTTTTTGAATATCTCTCTCTCTCTCTCTCTCTCTCTCTCTCTCGCTCGTTCGCTCGCTCGCTCGCTCTTCACATGGGCAGCAATCGCGGGTATATTTGAGCGAGCGGATGTTTACATCGTGAATAAATATTTCTCTGTCGTTCTACATGCAAAAATTATCAATTTATCGCTCATACCTTTTTCATCGAAATTCATTTTTTCACATTTTGCATTTGTTTATATATATTTGCCGCGATGAAATGTGCAGATTGCGCGGCATTTCGCGGCGGATATCCCGCGAATTGTAGTAGAAAACTGATTGGGAACCTGAGAGGAGACCACAGAGAGGGTGCGCACGGTCAGGGGGAGGAGTTCGATGAATTTCACAAAAGAAAAACTGCGGTAGCTCGTTTCGCGCTCGCTCCATTATCTGGCAAAAATTCCGAAGGAACATATCGGAGGATGCTCGAATATTTAACACCGTGCCGGCGCTCGCCAAGGGAGCCAGCTTAATCTCCGCGGTTCAAGAAGTTCGCCGTGGCCCCGATTAACAGGAGGGCAAGGGGCAGAGAAGTTAGGAGGAGAAAACGCGATTAACGCACCTAACGAAGAAGAATGTATTTCGGCGCGGGGTCTACGTAACTGCTCAGACATTTTACGAAGGAGCGCGAGGCTGCGTATATACACCCCGCAGGCCGCTTATTTCCGATCGCAGTGCGGCGCAGCGTGTAAATAAACGTGCGGCGAGCCGTTCATAATGGACGAGCGCAACGCGGGTGGGCGGTGGCGATGCCGCGGATCCGCGGATTATTTTTCGTCCCGGAATTATCGCTCCCTCGCGTGGCAAGTGCACGCCGACGAGAACCGCGTGGCACCGCTGCAAGATTACAATGAGCGGCGCGAACTGTCACGTGTGCGAGCTCCTTCGTCTCGTCGCATCAATTCGCCTGTCGACCTGTGTCGTCGTTATCTCGTCTCCGGGAAAGGCTCACTCTAACGGCGTCACCGAATTTTCCATCTTTATCGTTTCGTGCAACGAGGATTACGAAATCAAACAAAGCGAGAGAGAGAGAGAGAGAGAGAGAGAGAGAAGAGGGGGGAGAAAGAATGATTCAGCGTCCGGTGGAGGGACGATTGTCGTTTGCGCGGAGTGATTTACGACGCTCTGCTTTGTAAAGAAAAAAAGAAAAAGAATGAAAAGCAGATCTGGCTGAATTGACCGAAATGACATGGAAATTTGTTTCGTGATTTCATTGTGCCATCATAATCGCCAGCGTAGACGTCCTTTCGCAGCCTTTATTACTCTCCGAAATTGCAGAGAGCGATCCTCTTTTCGACAAACTCTCACTAATCGTCTTATGGTATTTCAGCTGTGTAATTAATTATCAACAAAGTAAGCCGGATCGGCATTCTTTACCAACGGTGAAACGTATTCGTTAAGAGCGGAACTTTTGTAGAAAATAACGAATGACCCGCCGAGCTCTCCTCGTCTCGTCGTCGTCGCCGTAAGAAATCGAATGAGATCCTTGAAACTGTGTCAACGAATCGACAGAACGGTCGCACTGGTGACAAGAGAGAGAGAGAGAGAGAAAGAGGGGGGGAGGGGGGCGAAAGCGTAGGTGCTCGGTATTCAGAGATCACGCTTTGCTCTCGAGACTTCGCTAACTGACAATGATGTTTGTGCATCCGATGAGTTAGTACTTGCGCAATGTAACGAGAAACTGTTCCCAGACTGCTCCGACGTCAATAATATCGATATCGACGACCGTGGAACCCGCGACGAAAGAAAGAGAGAAGGTACCTATCTCCGCCTTCAACGTGAAGTTCTGCGTGCCTAGCGTGCCTTTCTTCGGCGAGTTGACGACCAACATTTTACCGCGAAAAAGCGGCACGTCTAATCCGAGCGAGCAACCTAACGAGAAATCCGTCTAGACGACGAGGCTATTACACTCGACGCACAATAAAAGCGGTCGTGACATTCGACACATGTATTTATAAAAAAAAAGAAAGGAAAAAAAAGGAGAAGGCGGCGGAACGAAGTTTATTTCCCGCGAGCGTATATGACGGAGCATCTCGTGGGAAAATTGCTTGTTGATTTATTGATCGCACACGTTGGCCGTCGGTCGCATGATGTTTTTACAAAGAAATTATAAAGCGAAAATCCCCACACGAATACGCGCGTGTTACGAAATAAAACATTTTACACTCGATATATGATGTTATCGCGATCAAGTCGGGGGTATCGCGGGGCGGGAGAAAATCCAATAATCGCGATAGTTTCGGTCTCGCTAGATGCGCTTGAGTTTACGGTTCATTATTATCATCGATATTTCGAGAGAATTAAAACAAATGGAGCCGGAGACGCGCTGCCCGAGAGCAGATTCCGAATTGTGCTTGCAGATGAGACGCGGATCATCTCGGACGAGCGAATTAATTAACTTCCTTCCCGTTTCTTTTGCAGCGTGACCAACTACTTCGTGGTGAATCTCTCCGTCGCTGATTTGCTGGTTACCATAATATGCATGCCGGTGGCTGTCAGCCAAGCGAAGTCGATCGTGTGGAGTCACGGTGAACTCATGTGTAAACTTTCTTCTTATCTGCAAGGTAAGTATTTTCAGCCAAGTTAGAAACCACACCCTTCTCCCCGAAACCAATCACCTCTTACCAACCGCGACGCGTACGATCGCGCGCTTCACCGATCTCTCTCCTTGTATCGTCACGCACACACTTTATCGGGTCTTGACTGTTTTCACCGCTTCATTTTTGTGCATAAAAAGAGGATATTGTTGCAATAAAACAAAGGTTTTGAATAATGCCTGTTTTCATCGCTTGTTGCAGTTAAACGGTATTTCTGCTCGCAGTAACTTCACTGTTTCATATTTTGCGAAATATTTTTTTATAGAAAGCGGCACAAAAGAGAGAAAAATGAAAGATGGAAAAGAGACGAGAAATAGGGAAAAAAAAAAAAGAGAGAGAGAGAGAGAGAGAATGAGGAAAAGGGGAGAAAAAATATCTGCTCAACAGAAACTTCACAGCTGATGAATTTTATCGTTTATAACTTGGCGATCGATCGGCCGCGATTACCGCGCCGAATGTTTAGCAGGCAGCCCGAGAATCTACGTAAGCAACTCGATTATGCATCGTTCTACGGCGCTAATAGGTTTCTGTTTTGCAGAATAATGAGTTTTAATAGCGTTCGCCAGCATCAGCGCGAGCGCCTTCCTTCAGCGCCCGCTGCAAGAAAAAGAAAAGCCGTGGTTGTTTCTCATCTAAAATAGACATATCCGGTCTTCATCTTGCGCTCTTGTGCCGCGACGTGGCGCGCAAACGAGTTACGCGCGCTTCTGTTTTCCCAACAGCATTCACAAGCGTGTCTCCCTTCGAGACTCGAAAAGTCCGTTCGGCTCGCTCGGCTCGCACTGCCCTTCGGTTCAGACGCGCAGCTATTCGGATAATTTAACTGGGCGCAACCCAGTAACCAGAGGTTACAGAGAGAGAAAACAAAAAAATAGCTCGCGAAATAAATTCCCCGTGGCACCGATATGTCCTCCTTTTTGCACTGCGCGGGAACGCGTGTACGCGCGATTACATGTGTGTCACATTTATCCTTTCAATCACTACTTGTGTATCCTGATATCTGCAACATGGCACGCGCGTATTATTACCACTTCAACCAGCCGAGAGAGCTATCGTTTTCATCGTGCATGCAAGCTCGAATGCGACGGGGTAAAGGAGCACGAGTGACGGATCGGGGGAGGGCGGAGGGTGAAAGAGAGAAACTGACGAAGATAATGATCCGAAAGTACTCCGCTGTGAAAGCAGCTTTCGCATTAGCAATGTGCGACAACTGAAATTATAACGCGCGCCGCGCGCGGCGTGCATTATATTGGGTTGGCAACTAAGTGATTGCGGATTTTGTCGACAGATGGATTTTACACTTTCTTTTGTTTCGTTAACGTGTTCAAAGTACCTAACCTATGTTTTTTTCCTATTGTTTGGACTTCTACCTTTCATTTGGTACAAGAATTATATCGATTAGTTGTTTAGTTTTGTTTTTATCCCAATTTAAAAATGGAAGAGCAAGACTTCAGTGCGCACTTCAGACATATTTTAATGTATTATTTCCGAAAAGGCAAGAACGCATCGCAAGCACACAAGAAGTTATGTGCCGTATATGAGAATGAAAGCCTTGAAAGAAAGGCAGTGTCAAAATTGGTTTGCCGGATTTTGTTCTGGTGATTTTTCATTGAAAAATGCTCAACGATCTGGCCGTCCAGTTGAAGTCGATGAGACCCATATCAAGACCCATTATCGATTCAGATCGTCATAGCACAACACGTGATATTGCAGAGAAGCTCAATGTATCGCATACATGCATTGAAAAAGATTTAAAAAAGCAAATTTAAAATTTTGAATTTTCATTCTTATTTAAAATCCGCAATCACTTAGTTGCCAACCCAATACATGAAGCGGGAAGAATATTGACCGCATAAAACGGTGATCGTACAAATTTTATATCACTGTGCTCGCGCGCGCAATTGTAACGCAGCTTTCGATGCTTTTATCGCGCGTATACGATCGAGCGGGTAATTAAAATTCTTTCGTTTCTCCTTCTTTTCTCGTTTCTTTTTCTTTTTTTTTTCACACTAATAGCTCGGGCGTGCTTCCGTCGGTGGAAGCGAGGAAGAAGGAAGGCGCGAGACCGATAAACTCCAAATGTGCTTTCGCGTTATCGCTTTTGCTCACTTTGATCGCGCTCGCAAAATGCAGCCGTGACAACAAGAGGAAATAATGGGATTTAAACTGGGCTTTATTTAATACGACCTTGCTTTTTCTGCTTTTTCTTGTACGTCCCAATCGCGAAAAGGGAAAGAGAGGGAGATTTTAAAATGCAGAAGCTTGATCGATCCGCACGTTCTGTCGAAGCACATCTGTGCGACGCGCTTTTCCTTCAATAATTTCCATTTTTCAACGAGCGAACGCGTAACATCGCACGCACCGGTGTGCTGTTAAAATTCCTTTATAAAGTCAGTGCCGATCTCGGACGGAATACTCGCTCAACAGAGGTATGAAGTGATGTAATGCGTGTGAATATAACTTTGCACGTCAACCGAGTCAGTCCCGTTGTAACGAGACTCTTTGAAAGCGCCAAAATCAAAATAGTCGGGCGCACTGCGCCACCGTGTGCCATCTTGATCAAAAGCTCGTGGAATTCTCGTAGTAAATCATATGTGAAAATACCATTCTCTTCGTTACTTCGTCGCTCGCTAAGCTAAGCGAGATTGCGCATAACGGTAGACAACGGTTGTCAACAATTTTACATTTTTCATAAGCAAACACGTTGTGAGGTCGCTTGGTGCGTACAGAACGTCGTTTCCGACTCACAGCACGTCCGTTGTTGTTCCAGTCGTAATTTCATAGATATCCCGCGAGAGATAGATAGATGGATTATGAAGTTATACATAATAATGTTGAATCGCGAGAAAGAGTAATTAAGACGAATGTGGGGCTTTAGAGTTTCAACGCGGATTAAGAGCTTTCGTTAACCCGACGGAGAATAATCGACCCGCGCGCGGCGCGGCGCGGCGCGGCGCGGCGCGGCGCGGCGCGCGAGTGATTTTAAATTAAATTTAACTGAATTCGGTTAAAGAGCGAAGCGCGGGAGTCTCCGCGCCTATCCCAGTCACAATCCGCCAGTCAACAGTTCGCCTTCGTTCGGCTCGAGTGAATTTTCAAGCTCGTTTCGAGAAAGAGAACCTCTCCCCCGGAAATTTAGAGAGCAGCTGAGAGAGAGAGAGAGAGAGAGAGAGAGAGAGAGAGAGAGCGAGAGAGTATAAGCGCGACGGCGAGTAAAATCTTGGATAAATAATCGATTTCGGACTAATCGCGGTTTACTTACGGCGCCTGGACTCGAGTTAAACAGGAGTTCCTCCTTGTGATTTTCCCCGGATGGCGGTGTTTCCGCAGTCGGATGAATTTCGAGCGTGCTCTCACCGTTCGCGTGAACGTGTTCGCTCGTCTTGCGCGCGTGTTGAATTGAACATAAAGAATCGCCGGATGTTTGCAGGTGTCGCCGTTGCCGCCTCGGTGTTCACCATCACGGCGATGAGCATCGACAGGTACCTGGCGATAAGGAGTCCCATGGCGTTCCGTCGTGTATTCAATCGCAAGAGCACCATGCTCGTTATCGTCACCCTCTGGCTAGTGGCCCTGGGTATCTTCGCGCCCGTCCTCAAAGGGGTGAGTAAATCTCGATTCCGAGTCGACGTGGGCATTGAGAGCCGCGTGTTAATTGACGGACGTATCGCAGCTCGGCACAAAGGGCGAATATCGAATAACCGCGTCCGCGGGATCCCTCGTTCTTCGTTAGCGCAGAAATTTCATCACTCCTCGCTCCGATACGCTCTCGATGCTCGATTTTAGATTCGGCCCGCGGTCGAAACGACGAAACGGTTCAAGTGTAAATATACAAAGTAACAACGCGACGGGAAATACGCGCGGGATGAGTCTCGCCGGACGTCAGAGCTCCGCGAGCTGTAATCCGTTCTTCGACCTCGCTGATCCCCTAATTTTCGGGCGGATACGAGTCAATTATTCGTGCGTCACACCTCCGACTCGCGTGCATCTTTCCCCGTATACTCCGCCCACCCAAATTACTCAACGCTCGTCGGAACAACAATCGCGCCCATGCAATTCTATTTGTGATTTGGACTCTCGGTTAGCCGCAGTCCGATCTTGTGTCTCGAATTGTCTTCAGCGTCTCGATTGTTCGCTCGTAGCATAGTGAGAGACTTCTCCTCGAGACAGACTCAGGCAACAGACAGATCGGCCTGTAATTTGCCGTCCCGAGTTTCTCGCCAATAGCGAGCAATCCGAGCCGATCGGATAAAAAATGGACTGATATTTGGACCTCGTCTGATATCAAAGAAATATATGCAAACGCGAGTTCCGATAAGACGGCGGGTTTGCACCGCAAACCCGAGTGTGTTATTTTGAGTTTGTTATTATAAGCTGAAGCTTCCTTTATAAGCGTACTCTGTCGTCTTAAATCACGTCGTTTAACGCGCGTTTAAACGCGTTTCAAGTGATATCGAAATGCATCAAATGACGCGATTTCAGACGACAAGAAACGCGTGAAGAAAAAGCTCCAGCTTGTACGTGTCAAAATAACACACTCGGGTTTGCAGTGCGGTCGCGATATTTTCGCCGCGCTCGACGTGGCGCACGAGTCGGTAAACAATCAAGCACCATCGCGCGTCCTGATCGCGAGGATGGATTTACGAGGAGAGCTGCGGATTTGTATCCTTCGGCCAAAGAATAGACGCGCGCGCTCGCGAATCAAGGCACGTCGATGTTCCCGCGGGAGTAGCGTGAAATCGTAAACGCGACCCCCTGCCAGACGGTGCGTTATCACCCCGTCGGGGCGTATTTATCCTGCCGCATGTAAATCCTCGGCCAGAAGCCCACGGCCGGAGAGAGACGCGTTTGTCCCCGCGAGAGGTGCGCGCATTTGTAGTCGGCCGACGCGCGTCAGCGCTTTATGACGAAATGATGGCCGCAATAAACGTCCTACGTAAATATACGCACACGAGCTTTTCGCACAGAGAAACTTCCGTTCCGCCGGTAACGCGGTAATCGCGCGCGTAAGCGGAAGCTCAAACGGCGATCAAAGGAGGCCCCTCGGCAAAAGTCCGCAACTTTGAAGGATCAGGACGACAGGTTTATCGGCCGACTCCGCGGCACAATCCGCGCGAGCTTGCGCGGGATGCTCGAGAATCTAGAGTGATAGAGATAGAGAGCGAGAGAGAGAAAGAGAGCGAGAGAGCGAGAGAGAGAGAGAGAGAGAGAGAGAGAGAGAGAGAGAGATAAAGAGATAGAGAGAGGGAGAGGGGGGGGAGGAGGAGAGATAGAGCCGAACAACCAAGTGTATCGCGCCCGGTAACGCAAATAACGGATTAGTAAGCATTCCGGGGCCCCGCGCGCTTCGCAAATAGAGCTTAGATTAAACTAATTCCAACGAGCGGGGAAATGCATACAGTGCAGAATTGGAAACGACGTGCGCGCACGGGGGATCGACGTCGTCGCGCGTACCAGGCCCAAGTTGCCCGGTGACCTGGCCGATTCGCGCGCATTAATACCGCCCTTTCGCACAAAGCCTGCGTCCGTCCGTGCTCGCAGCGGTATTTCCATTTTTCCATAACAATCGGCCGATATGTCCGTGGCTCATTGCACACGCGTCGGCTCATTTCAATTGACTGGCGATCGCTCGAACATAAAGCGCGTCACTGCGAATGTAAACAGGTTAAACCGTGCGCGCGCTCACTCACTCCTTCACTTCCCTGCGAGCTTCGAACATTGATTGCTTTTCACGCGAGAGAAATGTTGTCCCATACTCCATGCATGCCAACATGCAGATTCGGATTAGGGAAAGAGAAGGGGAGGAGGGAGGGGGGGGGGGAAATGTCGAGGAAAATGTCGAAAGTCTTCCTCCGTCGGTCTCTCTCGTCTCGTCTCGTTTATATTTGAAAGCGCTCGAAATAGCGAGCCGCTCTCAAAGCTCAGCTTTTCGCGCGTCTCTATCTCTTCCTTTCTCTCCGCTTCCTCTCGTCTTGGATAAATTCAACCTTTCTGGTTTACCAACAGCCTCTCGTTTCCCCGCGAAATTAATTTGCTCGCTTACGGAGTCTCTCGACACTCCGCCACCATCAATCTCGATTAAGACTCGAAGCTGCTTGGTGCGGTCGAGAATACGAGAGGCAAGAAAGAGTCGCGATCCAAATCCCCGAGGACGATGAATATTACACGTGTGTGAAGAGTAGGGCGCGCGCGCGAGTGTCTGTGTGTGTGTGTGTGTGTGTGTGTGTGTGTGTGTGTGTGTGTGTGCGTGTGTATGTCTGTGTGTCTGTGTGGGCGAAGATGGCGCGATATCACTCGGGTGAGTGGGTCGATTGTTAAACAATGATGCGTCGGAAAAGCTGCTAAGTGCTGTCTGTTTGAGGACTATAAAGGCTCGTCGGGGTTATCTCTTTACCAAAAAGGGTGCGATAAGTACCCTCCTTCCCCGCCGATCCCTCCTCTCTCTCTCTCTCTCTCTCTCTCTCTCTCTCTCTCTCTCTCTCTCTCTCTCTCTCTCTCTCTCTCTCTCTCGTTTAATTTGTTTGAAGATTTACATTAGCATTTTGAAGCGCTTAATTGATCAAGGTTACGCGCGTTCAATGGAACAAATAACCCGGCGCGGTGTTTGCGAAAGCGTGATGCATGCAATCCGTTCGACGGGCAAAATTAACGCTGCTAGTAAAAGAGAGATTGTTAATTCCTCGCTTTTCTCTGTTCGTCACTTTTTTTCACCGCTATTTTTGTTAGAGCATCGAGGACGTGAAATGCAAGCGGTAAAACGTGCAACAACAAAGTGACAGAGAGCGGGGGACGATATACCGACATTAATGTTGACAGATGTTCTTGTAATTGCACAAAGAGATGTTCCCGATAATGAGCGAAGAATGAAGCGCGCGCGCGTGCGCGCGTCGCCAACCCCGAATCCATCGCGCCGCAGCGGTGGAACGATCCAAAATTGGTGTCAAATTCGAGAAGATTGAAATGAATAGCGGCCGACCGGCCAGCCGCAGATCCATTAGTTAAATTAGTCACGTGCATATTGTCCGGGGCGGGGTTATTGGCGAGCCTACATGCCAATCAATTTGCCATCTACTTAGCGCCTTGACGCGTTCACCGCCGAAGCGAATTCGAAGAAGCGGGCGTTAAGGGAGCAAGCACTTTTAATTTTCAGATTACCACCGTTCCCGACTCGATCTATTTTCTTCATATTCTCGAGACCGTAAAAATTTCTTCTTTCTATTACAAATATTCGCGCGGTCTGACGAGTGACGTCACAGCCGCCTGTCGCCGACGTGTTAATACCGGAGCGATCGAAGGTCGGCAATCACTCCGAAAGGGAGATCCCCGCCCGCGCTTCGAGAGAGGCGCTCGGAAATTGCACGAATTCTCACGAGTTCGATTCGTCGTACCGCGGACAAGCGAAACTATATCTCGCGAAAGTTCGTTTTTTAAAGGGAAATCGAGTGCATGGTCACAAAGCCCGCTCGCAAACCGTATTACGAATTGATTCCCTCTTTTTGTCTCTCCCTCTCGCCGCAGATGACTCTCCACAGTCCGGGCAGCGAACTCGTCAACATCACTTTCCAAGGCGCCTGGGCGATAAGGGGCAATTTCTCGCACGACTCCTCGCGCTCGTCGCGGATGCCGCCGGCCTTCTACATCTGCTCGGAGGACTTTAGGCCCTTGGGCATCCGGCCGCATCTCTTCGGCACCGCGTGCTTCGTCCTTGTTTACGCTGTTCCGGGTAAGGTGATTATGATTAATAACAGGGTCGCGGTCGCGCGCGACGGCTGACCTTCGCGCGGCCGTCGCGAGAAAAACGAGCCGTGTCACGTCTCGCCTTGGGCGAGTTTCAGGCACGAGGGGAGCGGATCGAGATCCGTCCGCGTCGGCCACGAAGTTACAGCCGGCCGATAACAACACAAGCCCCCCGCTCGGTCGCGTGTCGCTTGTACGTGTCACTGTCGCCAGAAATTTTCCGGATTCCCGAGAGATTCGAGTCGTTTTTAATTTAACGACCGGCAGAATCCCGGAAAATGTTCGCGCTCCTCAGTCTCGCTCTTCTGCCGTAGCATTTATCGAAGGAATTTCTTAATATCTCAAGTCGTCTCTCGCGCGAAGACGCGAGAATTTCGCTTGTCACTTTCCGCAAACCCGACTACCGTCTAATTCACTTGCTTCGCTCGTGCCTAGAAAAAAGTATGCACCCTCGGTCGAGCAAGGGCGACCACACTGAGAATTCGTCGCTGATTGATTCAGAGGTGGTGACAGGGCTGCGCGTGACGTGGCCGCTAAATGTCCTTAGCGGGCTCACTCATTGCTGCACGCGCTGGCCGTGCCCGCGACATTCTTCGTCCTTCGTGTTCTCTCTTCTCTGGCCTGTTTCATCCTTTTTTTTTTTTAAGCTGCAACATCGAACTCCGTATAATAAAAGGTTTGTTTTTTTATTGCTGAACTTCTGGCTGCACTAAGTTGCACTTATTCTCTTCTTCTCTCCCTTTCACTGACCTATCCTAGATATATATATATATATCTATTTCTTTTTATGTTCCCTGAGTGTACACTAGTTCAGCGATAAAAAACAGACCTAATTTCGGCTCCGAGCCGCGCGTTCAATAAGGAGTCGGATAAAGAGAATACCGGGAGGAAGATCGCGTCGAAGTCGACGATCGCTTCCCGCGACATTTCCGGCGCGATATTATGCCGGAAGATGCTATGCAGAATTTATTCAGCCTGAAATCGAATCGATATACTCATGTACAGTTATAAGATGTAGACTCGAACAGTAAGAAATCGTCACTTTGCCGGACGTACGCGAACGCGGCCGGCTTAATGCGACGGCAAACTTCAGTCTTGACAGTAATATACCGACGTGTTAATTGCGCCGTCTTACTTTCGCGCGCCAGCCGATCAGCCATTTATCTTCGTTGTTACGTGTCGCTCTTGCTCCGTCCACCCCTTACGACGCGCGTTTCTCTCTTAATCTTCTTTTTTTCTTCCCGGCTTCTGCCTGTCGCGTGTCCGGCGAGCCAGGCTTCATCGTGATACTGGCCTACTCGATGATGGGTCGCACCCTGTGCTCCAGAAAACCGCCCTTCGACTGCGACAGCGTCGAGGGAAGCGCCAGCTCGCAGCAGGTTAGATCGAATTGCCCAAGGCATAACATGCGACGTCCATTAGCGGCGGTTTAAACTGCGAAAAGTTCTGCACGCGACATTCTATGTGTCGCTTTATTCGCTCGGAAGCAGAGAAAGAGAAAGCGAGAGAGGGAGAGAGAGAGAGAGGGAGTAGTAGTATTGTTTATTGGCAACGTAGTTCCCTCAAGTGCTGTTTCAAGTACGTTACAATAACAAAATGAAATGAAATAAAATAAGTGAGATATAAGCGAGAATAACGCGCGCATTCTGTGAGGGAGGGAGGGAGGGAGGGAGGGAGGGAGAGGGAAAATGCATGGATGCAATGCAATTTGATTCGCATTATCGGCGATCGCGTTCACTTGTAACTCGTTTTTTGCGCGCAACATGTCAATGCAGCGCGCCGCGCTGCGGACGGAGATCGATGTTAATACTGTCGAGCGGCAAACACAGAAGTTCCGTGCGCGAACGCGGCGGAGTCAATCGCACGACGAATCAATCGATCGCGCGAAAGCTCGTAAGAAGAACGTGACTGTGTCTAATTGAATCGCGCCGTCCCATATACTTTATGACAGAAATCCCGCGTCGGACTGTTCCCGAGTACCGTTCCAATAATCGTCGAGCCCGGCGAGCCGATAATAGCAATTCGACGACGGAAATTTGGCATCTATCTGCGGTGTTATTCCCTCTCTCGCTTGCCGATCTCGTTCGCGTTTCGCCTCTGCGACGGGATGAATCTCATTTGTACGTCCCACGTCGGACGCCGCCGCAGTCATTACAATCGCGACGGCAAAAATACCGCGCGCTGAAAGCGCGCTGTGACGGCGGCCACGTTAATTTAATTCTCATTGGAAATGGCCGTGTCTCACTTGCAATTTTGCCATTAAAACGCTCGAACGGCGAGCTCATTTTCTCCGCAGCCGATTAAAATTAGAAGCGTAATCACGACCGATTCGAGGCGTTCCTCCTCTCTCGCCCGCGCTTTGACCTTAATGAGACAGCATAATGCAGGAATGATGAGAGCAATTTGTAATTTGGCTTACGGACTACAATTCAAACTACTACTGCCGCCGCCGCGTCGCGTCGCGTCGCGTTTGAACGCAACGAGCTCGTGTCGCGATGGGACGATGAGAAGCAGAAGGAAGAGGAAGTGAAGGAGGAAGAGAAAACCTGCATGTAACGAAATCACCCTCCCTTTCCACACTTTTCCACGCGCCACTGGTTTCAATTCCTTCGCCAGGTGCCTCGCAGCCACGCGCTCGCTCGCCAATGGCGCAGCTACGCGATAAATTAGTTACAAATAAACCGCGACGGAACGCGCCGCGAACTTCGTGAAATTGTTCCCCCCGTACGATTGCTCCCCGCCTCGCCGAATGACGCCGTCGCGCAATTTCCGCGGCGAGATACGCGCCCCGAAGAATAGACGTGTATACACGAGCGCGCTCTCATGGGCTGGCGACCTATTCTCCCGTAAATAACATCCAACAACGTAATTCCGAGGCGCGAAACGACCTTTGCCACGCGCGAAACTATCCCGATCCGATAACGCGCCCGCGAGAGGCAGAGAAAGAGGGAGGAGGTAGCGGGGCAATATTTCGAGACACTTCGATGTCGGTTCGAACAACTTCTCAACGGCGATTTCTTGCCGGGGAAACTAATCGGAATTGTCTCGAGGAATGTCGGCGTGTGTTTGCTCGATAAAACCCCGAATCGATCGGACGACGCTCGGCCGCGCGGCCGGCCGGCCGTTTCTCGATTTCTTCCCGCGGGGACAGCCATCGGGCAGAGCTATCTATGTTAATACCAGCGGAATTCATTGGGTGTACGATCGCAGTTCCAATCTAAATCTAGTAGAGCGCGCAGTTGCCTTCCTTCTGTTCTGCAGAGCTTCCGATTGGTACGCGAGAGGAGGCGAATCGCCTGGATATTGCTGCTCCTCGCCGTGCTCTTCGCTCTCTGCTGGCTCCCCTACAACGTGCTCAGACTGCTGGTGGATCTCGGCGCCGTCGGTGAGTACGATCTTGTAAGAACGTCGCTTAGATCTAAAGCACCTCGCGAGTCCCCACGTATCGCGCGTAACGCTTCCTTCGAGATCGAGATATCCATGTCGGGCGTGCGCGCGCTTGAAATATCCTGCCCGCTCTTTCTCTCTCTCTCTCTCTCTCTCTCTCTCTTTCTCTCTCTCTCTCTCTCTCTCTCTCTCTCTCTCTCTCTCGCGCGCGCGTGTCTACGTGTCTACACGTCGTTGCGAAAAACCGGCGCACATCCCGGAGATCGCCGTCTCTCTCGAGACGCACGATCGAGGTACTTGCGTCGACTACGATGCTTTTACGCAGGTCAGCATTCTTATTCCTCTTTTTATTTCGCTTAACTTGGTCGCTAGCAAAGGACGAGGCATCAGCGAATTGCGGGCTGATTTAGCTGAATTTAACACATGACAATAGAGAAATAATGTCGAAAATATCACGCTACTAAGAATACATGCAAGTACGGCGAATCGTTCGGTCGCTTTAGAGCGAAAAGAATGTAGAAAAGCTTTCTGAGAGCGCACTGACTCTCAGGAGGAGGAAGCGAGTTGAAGTATTTTACAGCTGCGCATGAGAAAGCTGCGCGGAATTTTGCTAATTCGCGACGAGGTAATGACAAACGATGTCTCGCGAGAGGATTCTGCACGTAAATCCGTGCGGAAATGCGGGAGATTTCGAGGATAGATGAGAGAGCAAATATTGGAGATGATGTAAACAACACGAGAGAATGAAGTGCTAAGAGGTAATTATTTTTAAAACATGATACTACAAGGCAATCGGAGCAACCTTCTCGCCGAGCAGCCTTCCTCTTTAATTTGCAGCGAAATTGAATAGAAATGAAAGTAAGTAAACCTTAACATGCGGTAGAATTGGGACGCTAGCATTTTCTAACCGTTCCCATTTGTTGCTAGCCCATTTGTTGCTAGTGAACGTAACGAGATTAAAACTATCGCGATGATTATGACGGATTACTGTCTCGACACATCCTTCCCGTGAGCAAACCATGCGATCCATCAATAAATAATATGCGCGATTAGAAAATTCCAATGACGCGGTGCATCACGTCCATCCAGGTCGTCGCGTCGATTCGTGCACATTCGGTCCGCCCAGTCATTTGCAATCATTCGTCATCTACGATCGTCTTCTGAGCGTTCGGTTTCGTCGCCTCGCCACAGCATTTCCCTCAGCCTCGTTTGTCTTTCTTACACGAGTAAAGTATCAATTATGTCTTTTTAACGGGATTTTAACGAGCGAGCTCGTCCTTCAGTCCGTCGTCCGGAGCGTAGCTATCGATTGCGCGAGGCGTAATAAAGCGTAATAAAATAAAGAGAATAGGGATAGGAACTGAAGGAGATTGGTTTCTCCGCGGACTAGTTAGCGGAAATTTCATCGAGTTAACGAGCCGATATAAAGTGAATATGTCACTTTGACAGGTGTTGAGCGAGAGGAGAGGAGATGTTGCCCTGATAAAAGCTTCCCCCGAAATTACTCGAGCGAACCGAAAGTTCCGCGAGTCGACGACGACGACGTTGACAATTTAGCAGCATCTGTTGCTTAGATACGCGAGAGCGACTAGTCCGCTGCACGCTGAACGACTATTCGCAAAGCGGACGTGCGCTATAACGACTGCAACGTGTCAATCTCCGAGACAGAGACGCGCGACGGGGAGGACGTGACTCGACGCGTCATATACATCTTATCCAGCGTGATGTACATCTGCGATTTGCTGCGCGCGATAGGCTACAAAATTTGGTAGCGCAAAAGTGAGGAAATTTACATTCGGTAACGAATGATCCGGCGCCGACGAACTTTTCGGACTGCGAGCGAGCGAACGACACGATGATGATGCACTCGCGAATGAAAATTGCATTTCCGAATTGGATCGCGTGAACGTGAAATGGGACGACGGTATCTTCCCGCGAGCTTTGAAGTTCCAGCAGGTCTTATCGAATTTCGCTTATAGAGTTTAATCTAAATTCGGAAACGTCACGGAATTCGTTCCCTCAATTTACCGAGACCGTGACGCTCCTTTCTGAGCGAACGATGCGCACTGAGTTGCCGAGTTCTCCACATTGACGATGTAACGCGCTACCCGTTTTAAGCCCTTGTGTGCGAATGCTCTTGCGAAAATCGCTGCCGTGAAAACTCTCTCCTCTCCTCCTCTCACCCCCCCCCTCCCTCCTGCCCCCCCCCCGCCCCCTGTCGCCGCCGTTACACCGCGGGAGCGCTCGGTCTTCTGTAAACGACGTTCCCAACGTTCCTTCGTTCTGTCTTCCATTATACGATCCATCGCGATTCTCTCTCTGCGAATGAGATTGTTGCTAGCATTTTATCCCGCGCGTAGCAGCAATATCCTGCTCGTAATCAGATTTTACACATCACCGGCGAAAAGTATCGACGCGGGCCGAATTCATTATTCACTCGAGATAATTGACTAGCGGCATCGCGGGCTTGCGAGAAGCGATACAGCGGCGGTCCTGGGAGAGATTCAAGTACGTATCAGCTATATCAAGTGCATATATGATTTAAAAATTGCGGTCAAGTGAGAAGGAAAAAAAGAAACGGGTGAATGTTGCATCAACGTAGACTCAACGCGATTGCCTGCATACAGAAATCTCGATATTAGCGCCGTGATAAATTTCAGCCAGAATTCACCGGGGTCACAATGCGCCCGTTTGTGCTATCACGTGCAATAATTTCTCGATACACACTCAGTGATTAATAATTAAAGCGTTACGGTGTTAACAGCGGCAACAATGCCAGCAATTTGTTCCACATACAAGAGTACACAGACAGGATATTTATTTACGGTACTCCCGCACACAATAACGCTGTTTTCTCAACTATGAGCGAATATTGGTTGCATTTCGCTTTAATTTGTATATCGTTTTAATCGATCATTAATAAATGGCACGATGATTAGCAAATAACCGAGTTGCTCATTAGTCGTTAACTCGAATATCGAAGATGTTTGATTTTCGTCATAATCAGTGTCTTTGTCTTTGTCGACATGATAATTCGAATTAAAAAATTTAAAAATATTTAAAAATATTTCCACGTTTTCTTGTGACAGAAGAAAGAAGGCTACAGTCAAGCTATTTACGATAAAATCTTGACATTTTCTAAACCGAAAGTCGCTGGGCCGGCCTTCCAGTCGTTCGTGGATTTGCGTACACGGAGGGAATTTTTTCTCATAGATGTTAACATTTACTAACAGTTATTAATACACTGGGAAGAAAAATACAATATTAACTTTTTCAGCTAGGATATACTCGTATCATTGAAGGCGGAGAAAATTGAAGGCGGAAATTGGTGGAATTGCGAGAAATTATTTCGCGTGTGGTATATTCATATTGCAAAGCTAATAAGATTCCCGGGCAAATTATTAAGTAATTGTTGCAATATATAGATTTCTGGACTTCGGTATGAATATATTCCCGCTGCGCGACACGCTGTGGTATTGGCCGATCAAAATTTTCGCGTGCACACATACATTATGGCGGCGAATATGTCACTTCGACAATTTGACATACCATATCGTATCGCATCGCATCGTATCACAAGTGATCCTCGAACAACGCAGATAATCGTTTCCGCGTTATTCGACATTCAGGATTCATTCAATTTTCCGGAGGAGACCCGGCGTGTCTGGATGTGCAAAGAGAATTTTCCTGAAAGAATATTACCGTCCTCCGGGAGATATTAATTTCTTCTGAAAGATATTAAACATTTTTACATGTTGAGAGAGCCATAGCACGCTAGCTTCTCCAGCCGAGACATCCTCATGTTATTCAAAGCGCTCGAAGGTAATATAGCAAACTACTTTGCGTCTGATGTAAATAATTTCCATCTCGTAAAAAATATCCGATGATCAGATGACCAAACCACGCATTCTGAATACATGCATACCAGACCTTGGTCCCTTCGCGTGCCTTCGCGTCCACGTGCATCGCCCTTAACCGAGTGTCGCTCGAACTTCATCGCCAGCGCAAGCACCCCGCGTCGGTCGAGGATTGTTCGCGCTTGAAGTGCCGCGTTACTCGAGGTATGTCTGCGCACGCAGATAATACAATGGCAACGACAGCTCCGGAAGAGCTTAGGGTGAGCTTCAGAGCCTGGTAAGAGAAGATATCGAGGTCTCTCATCGTCGAGCGTCGGCCGGTTCGGCTCGCTCGTCCTCCAGACGGACCGGAGCGCCGTCGCGCCGACCGCGAGAATTCGCGTCTTCATCGGGAATTCCTCCGCGACGCATTGTCCGTCGCGAGAATTCTTCCCCGCTGCCCACACGTCCGTCCGCCATGCGTGTATTCGCGCTGCGTGCCCGATGTCGCGTCGCGGCGCAACGTGACGCCGCGCGACTCGACGGCGTTTTAATTAATTTTAATGAATTCCCCGCGTGCACGGGGACCGCTTCATCGGAGAACGCTGCAGACAAAGAGACCGCCGGTAATTGTTCGCAGAAGGAGGAAGATCGATAACGGACGCGCTCTCATACTGCTTGTTCCTGGGACACGCGAACAGCGCCCTGAATCCCGTGGTGTACTGCTTCATGACGCGCAACTTTCGTCGCAGCGTCTCCGAGATCCTGCGTCGCAGCTCCCATGGCCTGGCGCGCCGTAAACCCCGTCGCAAAGTAAGTGCTCAATGTCTCGTTACACAGCCATGTCCGTCCGTCTCCGTTCGTTACACACGGGGTGTCCGGAAATTCAAGACTCGCCAGTCCTGCGCGCAGGTGGACCAGGTCTCAGGTCCAGGAGAGAGCTCCTCGAGCGATTTGCGAGCGTCCACGTGAGATCCCGAGACGTCGATGAGAGAGAGAGAGAGAGAGAGAGAGAGAGAGAGAGAGAGAGGAGAGAGGCCGATCAGTCCGCCGTCGAAATTTCACTCGTGGCTGTTCGCGAAATGCCAGAGGAGGCTCTCCGTCTGAACATTCTCGGACACCTTGTGCAACACGCGTAATGAATCGCGGCAACAGCGGCTCATAAAGGCGCGACGGAGCAGCCGGGCGAGTTGCGACGTCGAGGCCGTCGCTAGGCGAATCCATCAGGACACGCACTAGGGCGCTCCCGCCGGCGCGGCGGGAAGAACGGCATGAAAAAGCCGCTCCCGTGGGAGTGCCGAGTGTAGTTCGATGGGTATAAAACGGCGCCGGCACTCTCGTCGCGGCGGCCGCCGCTCTTGCGATATTGCCTGATCGTCGAACGCAAGCTAAAGCTAACGCAAGCCCGTCCCATAACGCCCGAGAAATAACGATCGCGCCGACGAACGGGATTGCTTATGTAGCTCGACATGGGCTGCTCACGTCAAACGGCGACAATGACGATGACGACGACGACGACGACGACGACGACACTGTTGTCGCGAGAGATCTCCGTTGTCGTGTCTATAAATTTGCAGATTTATTTACGGGCTCAGATTACAAGAACAATTCGCCCGTGAATCCTTTAAACCTGTCGTATTGTCCGTGTTACAATAGTTGGTGCAAGGACGAGAGGAGGAGGGGAGGGAGCACGTGTTAACAGCGCGATCGTGTTCCGGAACGGTGAAATTTACAGCTTGCTCCGCCGGACTACGCACACACACATACACAAACGATCCATTACGCGCGTTGTATGTTTGGCACACGTAACAACTCGATGATCGAGCACCGAGCGCGAATCCTTTCTCTTCTTTTACATCCCGTTAGAACAATCCGTAATAACCGCGATGGAACAGGGCTCGTTTTGCCCGGTGGCGGTGACATATCCGCGGTGTTAACAGGTAAAACCGCAATTATCGCCGGCGGTGAGCACCATCTGTCGCGCATGAAAATCTCTCCGCGTCGTTGAAGCGAAATTCCGAACGGATTATAACAACGCAAACGCGACACGAGCTTTGCACGCTCCGTCGCATCATCCACGAGCGATTGTCGTTGCGACGTGCCACGTACGGAGACGACCGGGAGAGCCCCGGCCGCTAATTTCCGTCGAAATACACTTGACCGTTTCCTCCGTCGTTTCAAGAGGCGAGACTGAAACGTTTTCTCTTTCGTTGGCGTGCGGATTGTCCGCGAGCGGCACCGAGCCGCACTTTTCGTGTTTTCAGCTCGGGCTGCGCTCGATGATACCGTCTACCGCTTAATACGCCTTCGATTTAATTAAACTTTCGATTTAATTAATTCGTTTAAATTCTCCGCTCGTCGATTCCCCGCCGCGCGAGTGGCGGCAGCAATTTTCCTATTCTCTCCTCGTATAGCTTTTTCTGCCCCGCCGAAACTCGTGGGGTCTCCCTCGTCTTTCTCGATTTCCTCCATCGCGGTGCCAAATTAATTATACGATTGTCGAGACTATTTGAGGGGAAACCAAGAGAGAGGAGGAGGAAGGGGGGGAGAGAGAGAGAGAGAGAGAGAGAGTGCAATTAATTAAACACTAAACAACAGTACAAGAGCGATGAAGAAAACAAGTGTGAGCGGGTCTCTTACTCGAGACTTTAGTGCGAAGGACCTGAAGTGTAAACGGCGATATGAATTATACAGTAATATTACATCGGTCTCTTCCCAGCCGCGTACAGTGATCTGCGACAATGAATCCAAGTTCCGGGAGGGGGGAAGGAGACTGCGTCGCGAGTTAATGCGATTCGCATTCAGTGCGTCACAATTAAGCGGGAATAAGGACGGATACGAAGCGCCCCGAGATCAACGGGTTTCTCGCGCTGCACTCGGCGCATTAATTGTTTAACCGAGTATATAACGAATATCTCTCTCGCGTCAACCGCACCGTCGTCCTCGTCGTCTCGCAAGGCTCTTCACTCCGAGCACGCTAATAAGCACATTCTCGTTTCCGCGGCATTACCGCTTGTCTGCAGCTTGCACATCCTCACGTGACAATAAGCAGCGCTGTTTATCGCGGTACGCCGGGTGGATTCGCAGGATCGCGAGTGTCCGCCGGACGAATGCATTGCTGCTCCACGAGAAAAGTATTTCCCGATCGCGTCTCGTCGGAAAAACGAGGGGAATTCTCGCGCTCGCGTCGGCCAACTTCTAATTGATCTCAGCGCGACGATCTTAAACTTATAATTGGGGGATAACGAGTCGTGCGTGCAGAGAAATGCTGCACGCATTCAGTTGCCTGTTTTAACTGTTTCGCGGGTTTATATTTCCGTTTATATTCATATTTTGTTTATATTTCATCCTCATTTTATATTTCATCCTCAGTTTATATTTTAAAAATTTACATATAAATCTATTATGAGTTCATTACAAACACCAAATTCATTCGAAATACATTCTAGATTGTAGTAAGTTTAACATTTTAATCAAGAATATTAAATTAAACCTGCGGCTTACTATTTATAGAGAATATAAGTTGCAGAATATATATTCTTGTGAAAAGAAAAATTCTTTTTTTCAATGACAATTGGGAAGACACGATAATGAACTTTTCTCATTACCTCTGATGATTATACGTTAAGACTTCTTTTAAACTAATGTGACGTTCCATTATGTTTGAAACACTCACCTTTTTCGACTTTCGCCATGATCCATGAATGAACGATTAAATTTTATGCTTTTTATTTTTGCTGTATTTATTTATATTTTACGTACGTTTCACTTGTTTTCGCAGATTTTATCTATGCATTTGTTTATTTCGTCCCTTTATTCAGTTATTTATTTTTATTTCTATATTTATGGCTTTACCTTGCCTGTCTCTCCTCTTTTCACACCAACTCATCGCTCATTTACTATGCATGTATTTACGTCCTATACAGATTACTTGTGCCGACACCATCTACTTATTTTTCTCTTTCTGTCCTCCGGCCGCGATTTTCGTTATTATAAAAGAGGGAAAGTGAACCGCCTAATTTCTTTTTTAGCAGTGAAATAAAATTTTTTTCGGCGTGGATCATCCGCACGTATTGTTCCAACGAATGTTTGCACCGACCAGAGGTCCCTTTCGTGTTCGTGCCTTTTTTGTTCCGCTCGTTCGGAAAACATTCTTCGAGCATCGGAACTCGGTCGAAAGCAGTTTTTGACAGGTAATACATAGTCATGCTCTGTTTTAATACAGCGACGACGTAGTTCGTCCTTGTAAACCCTGATTGTTATTGGAGGAAATATGTCCTCGGCTTTTCCCCAACGATTTTCCCGATAAATTTCCATCGCAGAGACACTGACGGCAATCAGAAATTCAATAACAAGGATGTTCCGATCTATGCTGCGCAGCATAGATCGGAACATCCTTACGTTTCTCCTTCGTGGTTCCGCGGCGACTTTACACGAGCATTTACGATGAAACGGATTTCAAAAAAAATTGCTCTTCGTTCCATTCATATAAATTTACGCTCATTTATTGCAACGCGTGACGCGAAGCTATATCTGTTTTGCTTGTCGTAAAAATAAAGTGCGTTTTCGTGAAAAAATACTCGCGTCTCGCGATAACGCCTCTGAAGAAGGTCCTCTGACTTTTACGAGACCTTTATTCCAGCATTCTGTCCTGAAAAAATTCCACGAGGAGGCACGTCCATCTAGGCGACAGTAAACATAAAAAATTTACAAATATCGCGTCGCCGGGGAGATCGGTAATGCGAAGTAATCGGCACTCAACGAGCGAATAGGCACTCAAACTTCGCGAGGACATGATGTGGAACCTGGGACACGATCGATCTGCGTTCGGTGTCGTATTTGCATCGGATCTATGAATAAGAACGTAGACGTTGGTCGGAAATAAAATGCAAAGTCGCGATGGTAAACGATGTAGGTTAAGGATATCTCGCGCGTTGTACTTAACCTCCCGGTTGTCGCGGCTTCTCAAACAGACCAATTAAGAAATTGCACTGAACAAAGAAACAGATATTCATCCGCTGCATCCTTTTGCCGGAGTAATTTCAGGGAGAAGAGAAAACTGTCGCTACTATGGCACGCTTATTCAGCGTGTTTTCTATTTACCGAGTGCGTGCAAAATCGTAACTATCGTTATCGCGTACAGCAAAATAATAAAATTGATAAGCGACGCTCGATGTGATATAATATTATTCATGTATTAAAATTTGCATTACTGCGAACAAATCAGGAGACAAGCGTAATAAAGTGCAAAATGCAATAAAACGTAAGTGTGTGCGTTAAATTTTCGCACGGTTTCTCTCGTAGTAAAATTTAATAGCGATTGCTGATTAAAATTCAATAGAGCCGATATTGTGATTAAATCATCGGTCTCGGCCGAGTTTTAATCGTTCGCCCTCGGGTGTAGGTAGGTTGGATTCGACAAAGCTTCAATATAATCCGTCACAAAGTATCGAGTATGAATCTCTTACGTATTTTAGTAGCGCTCGCGGCTGTGAAGTTTCCTACGTTGCATAAGTAATATGTATAATAACGATCCTTATAACATCCGGTGTAATCTTGGAACAATCGAGAGCGCACGGTTTTCCACTTTTATAGCTTGTTAAATGCATTATTCAAAAGCTTATCGACACCTCGATATGTTCGTTCAGTTTGAATCGCTGAAATATCCATCCTATTCTGAGCTCTTCTCCGCATTGACATTGACAGAGTGTATCAAGGATTATCCACTAGTATCGAAAATTACAAGGCGAGATGCGAACATTAAGAATTAAATAAAAGCTTCGAAATAACAAGAATGATTATTTTTGCGATTT